CATGTCTTATTCATGTCTCATTAATACTGCAGCATGCCTTGCTGTGTGTGTGTGGGGGGGAGGGGAGGGCTTGCGGGGGTTTAGAGATGTGGGACAAGGCCTGCGGGGCACAACACAGAAATCAATTATTGGCCCTAAACACATAAACGCTGGAGGCACAAACTCACGCCACAGTCTGAGATTTCTTCGAGACATTTTCATTATCGGTCACACAAATAGTTCAGATTCTCTACGGTCGGTTTTATTCAGCACAACTAATAGGAAACGTTGATACAGGCAGGCTGACTACCTCGGCCGCAGTCTTAAAAACTTTTTGAATCTTGCTGACAAAAAAACGGAAAGATCTAACGGGAGGACGGAAGACGGCAGTGTCATCCGTCCTTCCCTCCTTAATCGCCGTCTCGCTTCCCTCACCTCACAAAGCGTGTAGACACTGCGTGCCAGCATGGCAGTTACCCATCATGCCCGCCGCTTTCTCACGCTCCGTCGAGTAGTGGCGGGGACTAATGCTGGTTAGTCAGTTTAATACATTTACTGCAAAGTAGGTCTATGTGCACGTAAAGGAGGGTGGTTTAGGTGCGGCACATGAAGGTGTTTGTGAGCGTCGGGTGTGTGTGGAAGTTTGGCACATGTGCCACGTCACGGGAAGTTATTTTCCGTGAGAGAGAGTATTTACAGGGGCTACACTAAAAACAACCACAAACATCACTAATTCACCATGATTAGTCAGTCAGTAATCCGTGTGTGCACACACACACACACACTGCTAATAGTAATATCTAACATATGCAGAGATACACGGGCACAGTTCAAAAAGAGTAATATCATGATTTTAACAGATGACAGATTTCCACTTTACATCTTTCCAATCTTGCCAGATCGTTCTGCGCTTTTCTCAAGCTCTTGTTGACTTATTTTGATCTTTTTCTGCATTTCTGGAGTCAATATGAAAGCTCCAGGTGCCACAATAAAAATGTGAATTGATTTATGAATAATCTTAGATGAAGAAACCCTGACATGAGGGACACATGTCAATATTTTAATCTATGTGAGGGACATTCATAGCGCAATTAGAGGTCCATGAGGACTTGAGTGTGTTTTGGAAACACCTACAGTGCATCCAAATGTGGCTAAAAAGGCTTCTGAAATCAAACAAAGGAGGGTGTAAAAACAACACCAGGTCCTGTTGAGAGGTTTGGAGTGGTCTCATTTAGCCATTCATACTTGTTCCTCAGGGAGCACTCCACTTGTTAATATGAAGACAATAGCTCAGAGCAAACTATTGATCACGGGCCGAGGTCCCGACCAAGTGAGTGTGCATCTGTATAAGTATTGATTCATGCTGATGCTGACATTATTTAGTCTTATTCATATTCGGCCTCATATAACTGCGGTGATTTTAACAAAGAATCCAGAAACTCCCACGAAACCTTTCAGCAACACTACAGGAGTGCAGTTATACGTACCGCTGCCTCCTTGCGCGCACACACACACACACACACACACACACGATGCCATTGAGGCAGTGTGTATATATTCGCGTTCAGTGTGTTTGTATATGTATTTCTCTGGCTGTCTTTCAATATGGAGGCGTCTGATTTTGATAGAGGACATAGGCACTGCATGCTGGGAAAGCAGTGGGGAGCCGAGCCTGGAGTCTTTGGCCTTTATTTCAATTCTAGACACACACACACTTTCATAGCCACGTATCTTTAGCTTACACAGCTATGACCGAGTGTGTTTGGGCTCTTACACGGGGCTGTCATGGGTCCCTATACCACCAGAATCCCTCTGTATGTGTATTCATCTATCAACTTAGATAGGAGATAAAGGCTGCAGGGAAGGGTCCATGGGTTTTGAAGGACAGGTAAAGAGGTGGGAGGAAGGAGAATATCAGTCCACAGGGATGCCCTATCGGTAAAGCTCTATTTCTAGGGGACTTCCTGCTTCCCTGAGGACCAATGAGCTGGATCCCTCAGCTGGGGGTTGGGCCCTGGGGCACAGCAGAGCCAATCAGCAGGGGGCAAGAAGGCTGAGTGACACTTAGATCTGCTAATTTACATCATTACCACAATGCATCCTGACAAATGAGCCCCCAGGGTGCGGGCCAATCACCTGGGAGAGTAATGCAATTAGGCGGGACCACAGCTGTCAATCTCACAGCCACGGGTGTCAGGTAGTGGAGCCTGTGGCTTCAACACCCCTGCCTGCTGCCTGCGCTCTTCCACACACACACACACACACACACACGTCTATACATGGACAGATATAGAGAGAAAACATGCAAATTATTAGTGCAACTATGTGGTGTAGGATGTGTGAGTGTGTAGCGTGTGGGGCATAGTTAGTCCACTATCTTTCTCCTGCAGGTGGAGGTAACTGGGGAGTCAGAGCGGAAGGTGATGTCTGGGACTGCTCGAGGGACACAGAGATTGGCTTGTGTTCTCCGAGGACCTTCTCTGAGCGCAAGTGTGTGCATATCTATATACAACTGGGTGTGTGTGTTTACACTTTGCCCATGTGTTTTGAGCCACTGGGGTACCGCGTTGTTTACGCTCGGAGTCAGTGCTCTGTGCGAGAACTATGACAACAAAAGGGAGACGAGGGCCGAGCGGTCGGGGAGCTAAAACAGATGCAGAGCAGCCCGGCATTTGACTGGCATGTAAATGAGTGCTGGCGGTAATGAGGCTTATCTCGGTCTCATTAGGTATAGTGATCTCACACCGGAGCACTCACCCTGCGTCAATAGGGTTCTGCCCAGCACGTCGTTCATGTTTGTGTGGGCTGGTCGATTATACTGTGACTGGGACGCCGTCAGGCGGTGCTGGAGATTAATCAAAGATCCTAATAACACCTCAGCTTCTGCCACAAAATGCCAATGCCTACTCATCCACAGCTTCAGTACCAAAAGAGAGAGGGGCAAGGAGAGCAAGATTTCTAAAGGAAACTGCTACGGCGAGCGGATAAAGTCTCTGTCACCTTGCGTGTGTGTGGTCCAGACACTGCTTGAGACGCTCCAAGAGTTATGGGAGCTGTGTGTTTTGCGTCATCCCATTATATCACTAATGAGCCGCCCTCAGGAGGGAGGGGAGCGAGAGACTGCAAGCCGGACAGAAAAAGACAGAGGAAGAAAATGAGTGAAAAGAGTGTGGAGAAGGGTGGGGGTGGGGGAGACAGAGACCAGCTCGGGGACTTTTTCCTCTTCTCTCCTCCAAACCCCTTTTACACCAACACCTCTGAGTCTAATTGAACTAAAACTGTGATCTAATTAAATGTCCAATTAAAGCGCAGAGAGCAATTTGCCCACCGGCGAATAAGAGTACAGGGACATAATCAGCTGGAAAAACAAACAGAAAAATCAATGGAAGCAATGCAAAATGGAAAAAGATGGCGAAAACAGAAAAGGATAGTGATGCAATCAAAGTGCAGGGAGAGCGGTGAGGGTGCATGTGCCTTTAGAGTGATCGAGACAAGGTCACCTCACAAAGTATACATGTAAGGTTATAAACCATAAGACTAACCTAGAAACATAAATTAATTATTAGATAATAAGTCAGTTGCTTCTTAAGGCTTCTCAAATAAGTAAGGATTAGCTTCTTTTTCTTTATTTTCTCTTTAAAGAAAACTAACTTTGCCTTTCCAGAAACATCAACAACTCAACAAGTGTTTTTTTCCTACCTCGACATATAGTGTGATATATGTAACAGTACTGAAAGAATCTTTTGGGGGATATTAAGAAGCTTATTTCCTTTCCAGCATACCAACTTAGGTAGAAAGACATGCTGATTCTCTTTCCAAACCTGATATTCAGACAGGAAGAGAGAGAAATCCTCCTCTGACTCCATCTGCGAGTTGCTAACACACTGTGAACCCCCTATGGACAGCTTTAGCCCATAAAATATTAATGCTGGGATTCAATTCAACATTCCGTCTTAATCTCCTTAACAATTACGCTGTTCCAACACACACAATTAGGTTTGCCCCACATAGTCTCAATGGTTTTACTCTAGAGAGAGAATTACAAACTGGTAGTACAGGAGAGAGAACAAAACAGATGAGCCCAATAACCACAGAAGATAAAACTATTTATTTATACACCTTAAATATTAAGTATGCTTAGCAGCTCTGTGTGTGTTGGATTCTCACCATAGCCGCGTTGAGGGGCAGATGTTCCTCAGCTCAGAGCATCTTTGGAGGGTGTGGACGCACGTCCAGGTCCCCTACCTGCCCTGATCCGGGCTCCTGCGGGGCAAGAGAAGAGGATCACTCACATACTGAGACGAGCCCACCTGTTTCCACAAACGACAGCCAGCATATCGCTGGTGCTGGGATCTGCTGTTAACCAGTCGTTTCATCGGAGGTGCGATGACATTTTGTTTCAGTAACGGGCTGTTGGGCTGCGGCGTCTGGGTTTGATAAAGCAGCAGCAGCGGCCACACACGTACATTTCTGGGTTTAGGACATTTGCAGGGGGTTTTCCATAGAAGAGCATGGATGTATCTAAAACAGTTTAAAACAAAGTGTCGTTCTAGGAAACAACTCTTTGCTAGATTTGGTAGAAAATTTGGTAGAAAATAGGTCGAACGGTGTACTACTACCCAAAGTGAAGCATGATCATGCAACTCCCCCCTTACTCAAGAGAAATCAGCTATTCACAAGCGAGCTAAAGATACACAGGAGAACAAACATGTGACATTGAATAAACTGAGTAACTGAGCATTCTTGTAACTTGTCCTTGCCACTTCTTCTTTGTCCGTGATATATTTACCGTTTGATTTCCTTCCCCTTAGATGGAAATCTTCTTCTAAGTACTCCCGTTAAAATGCCAACGTATGGGCAGCAAAACACTACAACTCCCATTAGTTTCGTAAAGTAATACACCACCATGATTGAAGTTTGGCTCTTCGCTCACTTCTGCTGTTCTGCGAGTTCAAATACTACATTACCCACAAAGCTAAGCTCTACCAGGAAGTGTACTAGCGTTTCCGTGGTCACTGTGAGATCTGTTCGCCGTCGACTTCCGTCTGTGGTCTAGAGCAGCGTCGAGACTAACTGGCAAGATTCAACACCACCACCTCCAACAACTAAACTATACAATGAACCTGCCAGCATTATCTCCCTCTCTCGACATCCGCTTCTTCGCGGTCGCACTACTGGTAAGCATTCGTATCTCAGCCTTGGAATATGAATGAAATACTGTGTTCTTGCTAGAATAGCCAGCTACGGGTAAGCTAGCTTAAGTGACGCCAGTTAGCCTGGCGCTGGACAGTTAGCTGCTAGCTAACCGATGAGCCTCTTCTGGCATGTTACGTGACTTTCATAGTGGCTCAGGAGACCAGTGAGCCAGCCCACTCGCTTCTGGAAGCGTGGGTGTTTATCACGTTCATCGAGAGGACCCTTTGACTGGGTTTTACCAAACGACTCTCGTAGCTAACGTTAATCAAGTTATCCAGCTGCAATGTCAACTTAACCAGTAGTGCTGAGTGATGTAATCTGTAACGTTAATAACAAGCCAATATTGCTATTGTATATTCGTGATGTTAATCGCATTACAGACCGTCAAATCCAAGTTTAAGAAATAGGCGTATGTTGGACTTCTTGCTAACTTTGTTGAGTAGAAATAAAGTATCGGCCTCGCATCGGATGTTTCCACATATTGACAGCGGAGAGATAATGGCCATTTGCTAGCATGTTTTGTAAAATGTGTGCATTGGTTTGTGGCCGTTTTTGAAGGTTTCTATTTGTTATTGTACGCGTAAAACGTTACACGTTTATTGTGTGAATCTGTCATGGACTGTAGGGCTCTCTGAATGGTGCTCGCCGGTTGGAGAATTCCTCTGTTGTGGCTCATTCTTATTGGCTGAAAACCCGGAACTAGATGTAATGTGGCTTTTCCGCTCTGGTGAGCTTTTGGGCCTGAAATGAAGACTTAAAACTTCTCCCCGAGTTGCAGAGAACTGTCTTTATCTGTCCAACCCCAGTAACTGTGACGTTTCATTTTAGTGCGCATCTTTGTCATCTTAAGTGTTGTCAATATGAGTACTGTTTATTAAATGGTTAGTTCATGAACATGATTATTTGCAGAAACCATTGTTGAAATTGAGTAATTGCTGACACCCATCCGTATGCTAACTTTTAATGCATGCACAGATACATGCATTAACTAAAAATATATTAGTCATTTTGTCTCCGACACAATTGACAACAGATCAAAATGAGCCCTTATTTTACGTGAGGAAACTTAAACAACTCTAAACAAGGGGAAGGACAGTGACCGCTAAACTCCGAATATTGGTTTATGTGTGAGCAAACAATCAATTACATCTTAAGTTTATACAAAACAGCAGGTGGCCAGTTCTGGTTATTTCAGTTTGAAAATGTGCAGCCTTCCTTAAAACCAATAGTGTTTGTTTGTCATAGCCTCAACGATGACAACTGTCATATATTCTGTTTGAAGAGGAACTGGAGTCAGTAAAGATCACACAGCAGATAAAAAAGATAGTATAGACATACTTTTAAGACATTGCAATTGTACATGTTACAGTACACTTGTGTGGCTTATGTTAAATAGGTGCAGTTGGTGTCATGGTGATTCAGAAATAATTTAATAATTTACTAAAATACTGTTTTTTTATAATAGTTAGTCTTTGGGCTTCCTTTGTAACGTTTGAATTGTTAAACGTGGGGCATTTAGAAAATATATATTTAATTCAGTCTTCAAATTCCTTTTTTCATTTGGCAATCAGCATTTCAACAATGCTGGCGAACGTGTTTTTTTTCCCTGAAAGGAAACAATTATGGCTGTAGGATTACTACTTAAAATAGTATAATTATATTGACCATAATTCTAGTTAATGTTATATAATGTCTGAGTTGTCAGACAAAATGTCTAGCCAAAACAAGATGGTGTCAGTATCATTGTTTTATAGCATTCTCATTAGTGGCGTGACTGAAAGAATATGAATGCAACTAGGTGGATGTCATAAATTACATAAAATAACAATAAGATAGCTAATGCAAAATGAATGCTGCTTCCTTGTTTTGTGTTTTGGGGAAGTTAGTGTCTTAAGCTTCTGTGCTTTAACTTTTCTTCATTGAAACAGAATATTTGCACAGTATACAGTTATTGGGTTTTTAGATAAAATTCTGCGCATTTGATTGAACTGGTAAAAAGTGGAATAGAATGTAGCGTAATTACACTACATGCTTAGTTTTTTTTAAAAGATGATGGAATTTTTATATTGAAATACACTTGTATACAACTTTTACGCATACCGTTTGAAATGTGTGCACAATATGACCACTGATGTGATCTCAGAGGGATGAAAAATGGCATTTTAAATTGCATCTCAACTTAAATGTTTTTTTTGTTGTGAATTTTCCTCTGGCAATACCTAAAATCTCCTGTTAGCTCAGTGTAGTGTCTTCAGAATATTTTCTTCACTCAACCACATAGGTGTCTTGACCATCATGCATGGGTTTTCATGTTTTATTGGTCTATCTCTCCCTGTGCCTGTAGGTGATGGGCCTTTCTACTCCTGCACCAGCAGAAATCACCAGTCTGGACTCGGGCAACATTGATGACATCCTAAGTAAGGCATCACAATTTAAGCTTTTTTATAGTCTGCGTTTAGTGGCACAGCAAACGCTACGGCACCAAAACGCGAGCTGCAAACATGAGCGCAGCAGTTAATACATAAAAGTCAGTTGACAGGGCGTGCCAATTTAAAAAATGTCAGAGTTGCCCAACCAAAGCCCCGACAACGTGCGGAGCCAACAGGCCCCACGCGCCGGCTGTCATTATGGAGTTTCCTGGCGTGTGCACAGAGTATAAACTAGGCTTTGGCTTGCAAAAAGGCAAGGAAACAAGTTGAATCTTTTAATTTTCTTCTATTTCTTTCGCTTGAATCTAGTACTTGGAAAGGAAACAGAGTATGTTTCAAAATATCAAACTAATAATTAAATACTTATTCATTTAGAACTGTTGTTTCCTCTCTCGTCTTTAAGAGATTTTATTTTCGAGATCGTATTGTATCTTTCCTCTGATAAAAACTAACATAACATTTTCAGACCACTATGTTAGTCTGTTTGTTGGCCGCAGAAGAGAACAGGACAATATTCTGCTCTTGGATGCTTTGGTTAAATGCAGGTAAACAGTTTGTGTGAAGAGAAAAAGAGACGTTGACTAAAACTAAGAGATGTAATTCTTTTCGTACGAGAAAATTTGTCAATGTTTGACTGGTAATGTACATTTATCAGTCTATTTGTTGATGTAGAGGCTTCTATTTTATTCTGTTTTGTTTTACTTTCAGACAATGCTGGGGTGGCGTTAGTCAATTTCTATGCAGACTGGTAAGTGTGTTTATTCTTTCTCTCTCTCTCTCTCTCTCTCTCTCTCTCTCTCTCTCTCTCTCTCTCTTTGAATGTTATCAATGTCCAAATGAGCTTTGCTTATGATGCTCACTTTTTCAAAAAAAGCCAAATGCTACAATTATATAATTGTTATTGGCAGAAGAGATTTTGGTGATTTTTACATTGTGTGCCTTTTTATTCTCATTTGATCTAATTCATTGATGGATTGTCAGAGGCAAACACAATTTGCCAACATTCAGTCTAATTGATAAATATATATTTTACTTTCAAATTATAGAAATTGTTTGGACCTCTCACCCACTTCTGCTTTACAGGTGCAGGTTCAGTCAGATGCTCCATCCAATCTTTGAGGAGTCATCTAACATAGTGAGGGAGGAGTTCCCTGAAACCAAGCAGGTGGTGTTTGCCCGTGTCGACTGTGACCAACATTGTGAGTTTGCTTGCATCTAAACATGTAACGCGTATGGATTGCTTTATAATGACTCGCCTTATAACATACAAATAATGAGACGTGCCTAACGCATCAGAGCCATACCATTTATTTGGGAAACCAAAGCCTTTATTTTGTAAATAACAAGCAACTTTGAAGCTTAAACTTGTGTTTTCTTTACATAAAATAATGAATCTGATATGCAGGAGGTGGGGATTGGATGTTAATGGTGAAAAGAAACACACATACACACACTCTTACTATATTTGATGCATATATGTACACCTAGATGTCCTAGACACCAAAGCACTGAAACATAAACTTGCCTCAGCCTTTTGAGATAAAGCAAATTAAAGAGAATTATTGATGACCTGCAAACTGTTTGAAGACTAATGACAAAACTGCTGCTTCCTGTGAAGAAGAGAGGCTTAGAGACCCCCCGCGGGGAGATTGACACCTGCCACACGCACACACACACCCTCATTCAGTGTGTGTACAGAGAGTATTTACTCTTAGCAGGGGGCAGCTTTCATGTTGGAGATCAGACCTCAGAGCTGACTGAAGGCACTGTTTTCAGACTGCGGTTTGACTGCCGTCTCTGTCGCTGCGCCGCCCCTCATCCAGGCATCGCCATGTGTTTGTACTCGGCTTCTTCCTCTTCATCAATGATTTGTCCATCTTCTCCTGCCGTCTCCCCTGTCTTGCTGCGCAGCGGACATAGCCCAGCGCTACCGCATCACCAAGTACCCAACGCTGAAGTTGTTTCGCAATGGGATGATGATGAAGAGGGAGTACAGGGGTCAGAGGTCGGTGGCGGCCATCGCTGACTTCATCCGCCAGCAGCAGGTCGACCCAGTGAAAGAGATTAACTCGATGGAGGAGGTTAAAACTCTTGATGTGAGTGACACACACGGTTTACAAAAACATTGCAGATGCTACATCTTTATGGAAAAGAAACGGTATAATTTCCTATTCCACAGAGGAGCAAGAGAAATGTCATCGCTTTCTTCGAAAAAAGGGACTCTGATAACTACCACGCTTTTGAAAAAGTCGCCAACATACTTCGTGATGACTGCACGTTCTTGGCTGCCTTTGGGTGAGATCCTATTTATTTTAGATTTAAGTTCTTCAGTTGCCGTTTGTCTGAACATTTCCTTCCATTACTATAGAGCCGTATCTGAGGCTGAACGCTTCAGTGGAGACAATGTCATCTACAAGCCTGTGGGGGAGAGCGTCCCTGACATGGTCTACCTTGGCTCCCTTAGCAATTTTGATCTGACCTATGCCTGGACCCAGGACAAGTGTGTCCCTCTGGTCAGGGAGATCACCTTTGAAAATGGAGAGGTTTGTGACTCTTTTAAAAAAACATTTTTTTATAGAGGTCTGTCTGCTTGACCTTTCTTCTTATTATACAATACTAAACGTGCAAATCTGAATAACCAGATGTACATTAAGAGTATTTACCCCAAAAAACAGCCTGGGGGTATTTACCAAGCCTGTGTGAGTAGTCCGTCAGCTGAGACCCGGAAAGTCCCTGACTCTATTTGTCATTGTGCGTATTTGTATTCTTTCAGGAGCTGACGGAAGAAGGAATCCCTTTCCTCATTTTATTCCATGTTAAAGAAGACACCGAGAGTTTGGAGAAGTTCCAGCATGAAGTAGCTCGCCAGCTCATCAGCGAGAAAGGTGAGGCCGTGTGTTTTGTGGCATTTCGTTCCCGTCATTACTCATAAGCCAAATGGCTTTGTGTGCAGAAGTGTTCATAACGTTGGTGTCCCATTCTCCAGGGTCTATAAACTTCCTGCACGCAGACTGTGAGAAGTTCCGTCATCCTCTGCTCCATATCCAGAAAACTCCTGCCGATTGTCCCGTCATTGCTATCGACTCATTCAGACACATGTATGTCTATCCCGACTTTAAAGACCTCAAGTAAGTGCCACTTTTCCCTTTTAAAATGAACTGTATGTGTGCAGCATTATGGCCCTTAAACGTGCATATTATCACTCTCTGCTAAATTATTTTATTGTGTTGTCCTTTTGAACAATGCTTGTACCTATTTTTTTGCAACTCTGTGTGCACTTTCCTTTTTAAACATTTACAAAAATATTTTAAAAAATAGGGCCTGGGTTTTTTTTCATGCAAAAAAGACACTAAGTGAAAACCATAAATGCAGCCATAATTAACAAATAATCACCCACATGTCAGATTAGTCTGATATATTTAGCAATCTTTTGAACATTTTTTTTAACCGTATATGAAAATGTTCATAACAAGATCTCCCTAAATTAACCTGATTTCATTCACCAACCACACACACACACACACACACCATAATCCACTATGCACTCAACAGTTGAAATGTCACACCTCCTAAAATCTGTCTTTTATGAATGGGCCATGACACCGGAGCTAATGTGACATGATTTGGCACGTGCAATAAGTGCTAAACTAATCCAGTCCAATCTAATTTAATCTTATTTATTCGGCCCCCCACCTCTCGGCCTCCCCCAGTCCCCAATCAGAGTTTGATCAGCTAGACAGAAGCCCTGAGGACTGACCAGCCCTCCACAACCTAATTACATCACATCAACCCTGCATGGGGCACACAGCTTGTTATTACATTAGCACAGTGTATATATATATATATATATCAAAGACATGCACACATACATGTATGTGTGTGTTTGCGTGCATGTCTGCATGCTGCTCTGACACACATGGTTAGCAACAGCCCATGACCTGTCATTAACAAGCACACTTGACAGGACCGTGTTGATATGGATTAATGCCGCTCAGAGACACGTCCGCAGGGGCTGATGTCCTCTGCCGCGAGCTGCTTCGTCTCGTGTCAACTTTATTTCTTAATTTGGGCTATTGGAATGCTTTCGCCGAACAGAGTTGCTATTGAGAGGCACGCATGAGTTACAAATTTTGTTGTCATGAAATTCATGACTGGTTTAGTCCTGTCCTGTACAAGTGCAGATGAACTCAATCTCTTCATAAAGGGAAGAAAACTGCTGCGAATCCTAATGTGATCTGAATGGTATTGTAACATAAAGATTAACCTTAATCAACTTAATATTCAGGTCCCATTGCATCATCATCATCATCACGGCCAACATTTTTTAAGATAGTTTTTCTTTGTTTTGGGCATCATTTAGCATTAGTACTTCTACATTTAGTAGCTGTTAAGGAAAGTCCTGCGGCTCGCAGCTGCCTGGAGATCCACTTGCAGGTGGCCGTCCAGGGTGAAGCTCTTTAAAAGAACACCTGACCTCGTCGCACCCTCCTGTCACCATGACATTTTGTCCTCCACCAGCCTCCACCCCCCCCGACTGTCATATACTTTTACTTCTCTTCAGGATGCAGATTAGGTCCTTCGTTGATTGCAGGTTTGGTGTTTCGTACCCAGACAGTTCACCACAAAATAAAAAATACATACTTTTGTTCTGCTTACCTACCGCGCAATTTATCAATGTAAATTGTTTGGTGTGAGTTGCAGAGAGAGATATCGATGGGGGAGATTTTTGCGTTCTCCCCAACTTAATTGAAAAAAAAAGATTAGATTAGAAGATTAGAAAGAAAGGATTAACCTTTAATCAACTTAATATTCAGGTCCCATTGCATCATCATCACCACGGCCAACATTTTTTAACCCTTGTATTATGTTGAGAAAAAAATACGTTTATTATGTTGCGGGTCATTTTGACCCGTATTGTCTAAAAGCACACAAAACAGTCAAAAATGAAGTTAAACCAATAATAACTTTATTTTAGATTAAACAAACATTAAGAAGAGATGAGAAGAAGAGATATACAATTCAAACACTATATTAAAGAACTCCTGATATCATGTTTTTCTTCGTCACAAACACTTAATTTAACACTTTCATTTAACTTGCCCCATTCTCCTGGGGTTTTCAATGTTCAACATTTTCAGTGTTCCCCACATGATGGACAGAATGTGACGGTGTGCTTTCTGCAGATGTACTTCTTGCACCTCACACAACAGGTACTTGTTTTACTGTCATCTCGGGAGGGACAGACTTGGCATCTTTTGCGTTTCTTTGCACCTGTATCCGAAGGATCCATTGTGGGTTGGTCAGATGCCCTGCCCTGGACCTTTGTGATGACAGCTGCAGCTGCTGGGGTTCGAGCTGGCCTGGCCCGGTTCTGGATCTTGGGAGTGACAAGTGCTTTGCCTAGTTCTTCCAGGAAAAGTCGACGTCGGTACAGTTTGCTGGCATTCCACTGCTGGTTGATCTCAATCCACAGCACATAGGCATTGTAAGCAGACACATCCACAATGTTGTAGAAAACCACCAAGGGCCAACGGGCAGTCTTGCGCTGGCAGCTATATGTGGCTGTGACTTTGTCAAGATTGTCAACTCCTCCTTTGGTGGCGTTGTAATCCAGGATCATTTGTGGCTTCATGTCCTCTCTTGTGCTCAGAGAAGCATCTTTGTGCATTGTGCTCATCACAAGAACATTCTTGTTTCTCTTTGGGCAGTAAGAAACAAGTGTTGTTTTCTCCGTGAAAGCAAATTTTGAGGAATGCAGAGGTCTTCCTTGCATCTTCAAAATCTCACTGGGAAGTTCTGGTTTATTTTTTCTGACTGTTCCCAACATAGTCAGCTTTCTGTCCTGAAGTTCATCTCCAAGACGGTAGGATGTAAAGAAGTTGTCACATGTGATGTTGTGACCTTGCAGCCCTTCAGTCATCTCCAATACCACACGCATTCCCTGATTCTTCTCAGGTGCTCCTCCAGGTGGCTTTCCAGTATATACCTGCAGGTTCCACGCATAACTGGATTTTGCATCACAGGCTGCCCATATTTTGATGCCATATTTCGCAGGCTTGCTTGGCATATACTGTCGGAAAGGACAGCGTCCTCTGAATGGAACAAGGCGCTCATCGACAGTAACATGGGGGCCAGGATTATACAGTAAAGGCAGGATTTCGACCCATTTATCCCAGACATCTCTGATCGCTGCAAGTTTGTCTCTCTCGCGTCGACCAGGTCTGGTGTCACGGTTGTCAAATCGGATCACACGAGAGATCATGTGAAATGTCTCCAAAGACATTGTTGCTCGGAAGATTGGCCTTCCATTCTCTTCATCCCATAAACTTGCAGTTGCTTCACCCTTTGACCTGTATACTCCAGCTAACACCAGAATTCCAATGTAAGCATGCAAGTCAGTTGGATCTAGTGGCTTCCATTTTTCTTGAAAGACACGCCTCCCCTCCAAATTGGTCATGTTGAGGATTATCTTTTCTATGGGTGGGGATATGAAGAGCTGAAATGCTGATTCAATATCATCAACTCTTGTGACAGCAAATCTTGTCGGACCAGGAGTCATTTTGATGACATTTGATGATGACAATCTGCCTCGGCTTTGGTGTGGTGATGTTGACCATTTTACGTTACCATCTTTAGATGTCCATGTCCCCTCTGTGGATGACGTTTCTTGTTTTTCATCTGATGAAGGGACACCGGCAGACTCGTCCTCTGAATCCTCCTCATCGTGGGAAAATTGATAATCTGGATCATCAATAGCATTGTCCTCTGGCTCTGAAGGATCCTCTGTCTCTGAAATCTCTTCCTCTTCATCACTATCCCAGTTCATAAGCTGTGATAATACTTCTTCAGCTGAAAATCGTCTGGAGCTCATTTTTGGTGTATTTCTCAGAGAAAGGGCATTGAAACAGTGAGAAGGACAGGGGAGAGAAAGTCTCTCTTCCATAAACACCTGGTTCTGATTGGCTATTCAGAGGCAATCATAATAAAGTACATCAAAGAGACATGTTTATTTGGGATTTGAACAGCCACTTTGTGTCTGGGTCAAAATGACCCGCAACATCATCTTTGTATACAAACTGTGTGCAGACACTCCACGACACATCAAAGTGTCCAGATTTTACACAGCAGTTCATGACCCTAGATGAGGAAAAGTCAGAAAATTTCGTGGAAAAAAAGTAAGGATAACCTGCACTTTGGTCAACACAAAAATTGAAATGGGTCAAATTGACCCTAAACATAACATAAGGGTTAAGATAGTTTTTCTTTGTTTTGGGCATCATTTAGCATTAGTACTTCTACATTTAGTAGCTGTTAAGGAAAGTCCTGCGGCTCGCAGCTGCCTAGAGATCCACTTGCAGTGGCCAGTTGCACTGGCACTTGTGGTGCCAAAAGTAGTTTTGAAAAACTGCTGCGGAAATCCCGACACTGATAAGTGGGCACACCTCGCAGTGCCCACTCTCATGTTAGAACAAGAAAGTGCATTAACACTGCTGCGTTCGCCAAGCACTGCTGAGCCAGCTAACATCACAGGTCAGCCGAGGAGAACAGCATTAATGTTTTCATCTTGAGCTGTCGCAAGCTGCTCGTCACACTGAGTAGATGCTCCTTCTTGGTGATTTGGTTGCCGGGTGTTGTTTGGTAGAAACCAAATAGTTCCCACGTGAAAGTGATCATGAGACAAATATGCTTAAAAATAATTAAGAACACGGAAATTTTCTTTCATGATTGTCCAATGTGTGCGTGTTTTTTTTCCTTCCTTTTTCTTCCTAGTATCCCCGGCAAGCTGAGACAGTTTGTTCTGGACCTCCACTCTGGAAAGCTTCACCGAGAGTTTCACCACGGCCCCGACCCCACGGACAGCACGCCGGGACAGGTCTGAGTGCAGCGTCAGCACGCGCTCGTACGGAGACACCGAAGGTTGGTTTTACGTCGTCACGTGAACACTGTTTGTTTCTGACTCTTCCCCCTCAGGAGGAGACGGGAGGGGAATTGGCCAGCAGCCCTCCAGACAGCTCGTTCCAGAAGCTGGCGCCCAGTGAGACTCGCTACACCATCCTCAGTCGGGACCGTGACGAGCTGTGACCTCAGCAGCCTTCCAGTGATCCTGTGACTCAATGCCGTGCCCCAGGGTCAGGGAGGGAGGGAGGGAGGGGGGAAGGGGGGTAGGGTTGGGACAGGCAGCGGGACAGAACAGCAACACCCAACACCCTTACTGAGGGGATAGATCTATGGAAGAGGAGGAGAATGAAGGGGAAGGAGAAGAAGAAGGAGAAGAACGGGAGTTCAGTCCACGACACGACCATGTTGGAATAACCTATATTTTCATAACTCTTTCACGTACAGTTTTTATTTTGGATCAAACGGAGGGGGGTAAAGAAGGAATCGTGTGTGTGTGGGTTAGGGGCATTAGGACATCAAAAGAAGTGTTTTTACTTTTTTTTTTTTTTTTTTTGGAGCTTGTAAATATGTTTATGCTACATGGGAGTCTCATTGTTGGTCTAAATTAAATGCAGAGTTTTCTTTATTTTATTCCTTTCTTTTACATCACCTGGTTTTGTGTAAAGACAAATTACAGGGCTGTTCCCTCACTCCAGTTGTACGGTTCTTATCTGTGGCTAGTCGAGTTCAGCTTGTCCACTGGGAGACGCTTGTTTTGTCTCCCTGACTGCATGGCCGCATCTCAACATGACCAACTCTAGTTTAATTCATTTGTAAATGTGTAACTTATAACAGTTTGAAGGAGCTTTATCTCCACATCTTTTGCACACACACATTCTGAAAGAAGAGAAAACAACACAATTTGAAATACTTTGTAGCAGACATCATTTTAAAACATGACTTGACACAGAAGATTAAGAGTCTGAGCTACTCCACCCTGTTGAGATGCACCCCTTCTCTCCCTGGTACTAGATGGTTCTTGGTTATAGTGCTTATAAAAAGTATTGCCCCCTGCAACCTTTTTATTCCTAACGGTTTAAGAACAGTTTATGTAATTAGGATTTTATTTTTCACCCGGATCAAGAGAAAACACTGTAATGTCAAAGCGAATGAGCCGTATGACCACGATACTAAATTGTGTTTAGTAAAGCAAAACAAAAAAAAGAACATGATCCAAACAGGAAGCCCGGTGGAGCGAGCGGCGAGCAACGTCAAGCTGCCGCCATCGTGTGTGGAGGCTCCTTGGCGGCTTCCTGGTGCAAACGTACAGCTGTATAGAAACGTCTACCATCCTTAACATTAAACTAAAACTACACCGGATTTCAAAGAAGAATGTGGAATAATTCATGTCCAGATGTGTAGACCTGTTACAGGCCTATTGATGTAGACCCACGGCTGTAACTGTTGCCAAAGGTGCCTCTTTTAATTATTGTCTTGAAGGACATGAAAAGTTGTGCAATTGGGAATTTATTTGAAATTGTGTAACGATGTGTAACCCAAGAATCTGAATCTTATTTTGATGTTAGTTACTTAAAGCTGATTATCTCCACCACCACTGTAAAATCTCAAAAGGCAAAGGGGGCTGGATACATTTTTAAACGTTGTGCTCCCAGGAATCAAATGGGGAAAGAAATTTGTTTTGCAATAATGTACTTTCAAATATTCCCTAATTCATGACATGTGTTGTTTTTCCTGTTTCCTGTTGTCAAATGTGTCATCATGCTGGGGGAGAAAAGACTTTATCCTTCCGAGCCGGGAGGGGAGGTGGGAGGTATGTGTGATGTATGGTGGAAATTTACAGTCGGCCACTTTATACAACTTCTCTCAAAACTGGTTTTGTCTCTTTATATGTGTTTGAGGTTTTGGTACAAGTCCTGTTCTCTGAGATCCTCCGAGTGTGAATGAATCCAGAAGCAGAAGCCCGATTATTAAGAGTTTGGGGAACCATTGCTAAGTTTGTACTGTGCATCCCTGCCCCTCCGTAGAGGCCGACCGATGCCTGCATAGTGACATATCAGCCCACATACAGGAGAGCAACAGGGGGCGTGAAGAAGAGTTAAAAAATAAATAAATGAAAGGGTAAATTAAAAAAACATTTTACAGAATGTGTTTGTCTGATGCTTTTATATTCGTGTCTCTGAGCAATGTGTTTATCCACTGAATGACATTGAAAACAGGTTTTATTTGCGTCTCTCACACGTTGCAAAAGCAGATCAGTACATACAAACATTTAAGAATATCCACTTTGACACTTTTTTGTCATGTCCTTATATCTCCATATATCATTGTAGTCAACATTAGTGCAGCTGTTCACGTTGCGATATTCGTTTCCACGAGAAGGAACTTTGAGGCATGTTCACAGACTGGCAAACAAACAATATGAAAAAAGGATGCTAGTTTGAGGAGTAAACAATGTCTTAATAAACGGCTTGATTTACATTCCATACATCTGCACGGGTTTACACTCCCGCACAAGTGAAGTCACACTGTTTTTGCGGTAAGTATAACCGAAGCTTTAGTGACGCCGTTTGACAAAATGGCCGAGGTGTCCAATTGTGGTCTTAATTTATTGACAGATTTAATTTAGTAAAGATGAGTGATGTCATGCTGACACGGACAGTTGACTACAGCAGTGCACGTCGACAGCCTGCCGGCGTTCCATGTTCAGTCTCTTTAAGGCACTGCGGCACCGCCCGAGTTCTAGTCGGTGCTGCTGATTGGTCAGTCGACACAGAGGCCTCTGTGATTAGAGGCCACAACTGGTCATTTGTCCTTGTTCCGTTCTGGTGGCGGTTCACTCCGTTGTTTCATCTGTAGATCCACTCGGGCTTTGCGGTGTTTCTGGACTATGTTGCCACCTGCAAACCCCAGAGCCCCCCCTCCCAGAGCCGCTGCCACCCCTGCGACTTTGAACCCGGCCAGCAGGCCGAGTGGACCTCCTAACACGCCGCCCAGCAGCGCCCCTGCAAACGGCAGCACCGTCAGCTTGTAGCCAACGGCCTGCAGAGGAGAAGAAGAGATATGTTGTGGTTTAATTTAACATCCACATACACACCTTTTGAGTGATTGGCACTTTGTGGCTTCAAGACAGTCTGCAATAGAGTTGGGATGCATTCATCCTTTCATGATCACACGTCGACCCACAAATAAGCCTGCATGTGTAAATGTAAATCAACATCAAAGACTTTTCACATTATATCCATTTAGGAGAAATCAGAGAGATGGGGGCTCCGTGTTATTACGGCTGTTATCATCAGACTGGAAGGTGCTCTTTGCTGATGACAATTAAATATGCGCACGCACGCACACACACACACACACACACACACACACACACACACACACACACAAGCACGCGTGCAGGGACACGCACTTGATTAACACTTCACCGTTAAATTAATCTAGTTCAAAAGCGACCGTTGCTTGTCCACACCCCGGTGGCATTCGAGGGAATTTTAATTTCATCTGAGCCGAGTTAAAAGGACTCTGGGCACAGGTTGTGGAGGCAGGAGGTGTGTGTGTGCGTGCGTGCGTGCGTGTATGTGTGTGCGTGTGTGTAATGCGGTTTGACCTGATGACAGATTACAAGCTTTCAAACACGTTAAAACATCAGACACCCCTCATCTCTTTTATCTCTCCACACACCCCGTCTAATGTGCAGCCCACTGCGTCTACCAGCAACCTTACAGAGAGGGCAACCTTTATTTGCACTGCCAATTGGGTGAATTTCATTTCAAAAGAATGTTCAATTATTATTTGCATTTATTTCAGAAATGTTAGTACTAAAGTTCCCTTTATTGGCATACGGCGATCCAATTTCAGTTTTATTGCCGATTTTAATACATCAGCACATAATTCCTGCATCCATAGACAAGTGAATGGAATTATCCCCACATCATTTAATTAAACTTAAATGAAATGATATGAGTTTAGCAGAAGGGTTTCCGGAGGCTGACACTGTTCACAGTTAGAAAATGTCAAAATCCTACGCAGAGAAAAGTTTTCACTTGTGTATGTGTTGTAGATGACCAAAAGCCGGTGATTTACTCTGAGTAATACAGTCAAAAAGTTCAACATTTCAAGTGCGTGATATGTGTGAAGGAGGCCACTGAGTTGTCCTCCGGAGTAACACTCAGTGTGTTGTGTACTGTATTGATTTTGGGAGGCCGAATGCTGCGCCTGAAAAACTATTTAACAGTCATTCAAACCCCTCCTTAATTCCACACACACACACACACACACACACACACACACACACACACACACACACACACACTTGTCACCCCTCTCATCCTACCTCTCTATCACTCTTCCGACCCTCCACTCCTCTCGATCCCGACCCTCTCCCTATTTCCTTAATTGCAGCTTTCCTCCGTATTCGGATGGATCAATAGGGACAAATGCTGTGGAATGGCTGGGAGGCAAAGTGCCATCGATCTCCCCACCTCCCAAACACACACACACATCAGATTGTCAGGACACACTCTCTCTCTCACACACACACACACACACACACACACACACACACACACACACACACACCTTCCCCAGGCTCTTGGTCCCCTCCTCCACGTTGGCAGCGGCTGTGTTGACGTTGTCCTCTATGCTGTCAATCGTCTCCTGCTGGGACTGATGCACACACAAACACATATTAACACACACACGCAAATATGCGCATTCATCTGCAGATACACACACACACACACACACACATACACACGGAAACAATTTGATAGAGCTACCACCTGTTGTGTATTAAGCTTTCTTTTATCCTTCCAAATTTCTAGTCGCCAGCACAGATTAACAGGAAAGACGTAAATGAGTTTGTGTGGACGTGGTAGGTTTATTCAAAAGATATTTCACCAGCCGAGGGGGCGGGGGGGGGTCATATTGTGTGTGTGTGTGTGTGTGTGTGTCTGTGTGAGATCTCATGAAATATTCAGTAAGGCAGCTGTCTCTCTCCATGTGAGGCCTGGATGGACACAGTGACCAAACAACAGCTAGAGCACTTTCCTCCTCCTCCTCACCCTTTCTCCCCCTTTCACCTCCTCGCTGCTCGCTACGAGTTACAGGTTCAGCTCTGTCTGTCAGTTCTTTTTGATGGCTTAAATGATCTTAACTAAAAAACCTGTGTGTAGTTTAGGTAGGAGGAATAATAAAAAAGAAGGATAGAATTTAGCTTTTTACATTTATTTTATTTCATGTATCACACCGATTTTTTAAGCTACAGTGATTTATTTCAATACGTTGAAAAGAAACTTATAAAGACCATTTTATCAAACTAAATAAGCTATTGTCATTCTGGAATTTTGTTTTATAAAGTGCAATCACACAATGGGCAAATAATTGTGCGGCCGAGACAAACAAACAACGTACAGGTAAGGAGACACACAAAGAAACAACACACAGGTAAGGAGACACACAAAGAAACAACACACAGGTAAGGAGACAGACAAAGAAACAACACACAGGTAAAGAGACAGACAAAGAAACAACACACAGGTAAGGAGACAGACAAAGAAACAACACACAGGTAAAGAGACACACAAAGAAACAACATACAGGTAAGGAGACACACAAAGAAACAACATACAGGTAAGGAGACACACAAAGAAACAACCACTAACGTGAAGCACAACACAACCACGCACTCAGTCAGTATTTCCACTGTGTCCCAGAGCTGGAATATTACTCCCCTAACGATGTCTTCCACCCTTGAGACACCACAACAACATGTCTATGCTCTCTACTTCGCCCACCGCGCCTTTTTTATCATTTATTTTCTTACCCTAACCACATCTTCCCTCTCTGTGACTTTCTCTTTCACCGTTAATCTCCCCTTCGCTCGGCCTCCCTGCTTTTTTTCTTCTTCTTCTTTTTTTCCATCCCTGAGGATAGAGTGATAATCTGAGCCTTCTGTTCTCCACCTGCTCCGATGTATCTATTGTTCCACCTCTCCCCCCGTGGACTCCCCCCCCGGTCTACTCCTCATCCTGCCTCTGAGGCCCCAGCAGTAGTCCTGAGCCGATCTGTGTAACCTCCACCGGCGCACGCGGTCAAATACGCAGCACTTCCTGGACGTGCTGGAGGCCAGCGGCCTCTGTCGCATTGTTTTTCGTTCACACGGGGGGCGGCTTTGCGCACATGTAGATGGAGAAAAGTGATTGCATCGATCAGCCGGGAAGCACACAGTAAAGTCGTGTGTTTGTACTCACATGGACGAGCAGAGAGAACTCCGTCACCAAACTGCTTAGTTCCTTCAGGTCCTGGGAGAGAAAGAAATCCCCCGATTCATTTCACTGGGATGCCTGTCACACGAATCTACAGCTGCATTATGTCCAAACGGGACTGACAGTGACTTTAACTAATGAACATCAATATTAATGTGTGTTGTATGTATCACAGTAGAGCAGGAAAGAGGGGTCAGCGGAATCAGATCATCTTGCAACGATGTTTAATAATGCAGGTAACCATAGCAACATTTTTTAGTCTATCGGAAACTCCTTTTCATGTACTTTATGCTTAGTGGTTTGGTTTTAGTTCGAACCTTTTTCAACGGAAATATTTTGAAATCTCACAGCAGGAAAAGCCCAATTTTAGATTACATTTAGCTGCTTTGGTTCCAGGGTTATTCTGCTCGCTGGCTTACAGAACTTTCCAAACTCTTATGCTATTTAAGAAACGTTTTGATGCATTCCATTTTTTCCGAGGTGAAATAGTATTACTGGCAGCTATTGGTTAAAATGGAAAGAATTGGATAAAAACAACATGCCCAAGAAGTGAAAACTTTTCAAAACACAGTTGTGAATTATTACTTTTAAGTCAAGATGTCAGGACATAGTTTGGCTGCTTACCACAGTTAAAGTGAATTTAATGATGCTTACAGCAATATGCTCAAACAATACATTCAACTCCTTCGCTAAGAATCACAGAAGACAGAGAAAGACAAATACACAGTTAACATGTATAATGGTGCTACATATTTGGAGTGTGCCTGTGCATGTTAAATCTAATCCGTGGACTTTTTTTATTTTTATTTTGTTTTGTTTTGTTTTGCACACGAAGAATAGACTGCACACCTTGAACCCACTTATATAAAAAAAAGGGCCATAACAGCAGTCAAGCAACAAGCTTTGCATTCAAGTTGAAAAATAAATTACTATTAATTCAAAATAGTTATTAAATAGAAGGTTTCCAGGCTGTTTTTCTGTGTGTGGCTCTCATACCTCTTCCAGGTTGTCCCAGGACTCAGCTGCACTCTGATCAGGAGGGATTTCTGGAAGTTGCAGCTGAATTTGCCTTCCAGACACTGTCTGCTCGCACATATTGTCATCAGCATGGCAACTGCTGGACACACAGCTGGACGGCTGAGCGCCGGGCGGTGTTGCTGGCGCGGGCCAAGGCGCCGGGTTGGAGTGCAAAAGCAAGAAGTCTCGTGCTGCGGCCGATGCCCGATCTCTGACTGGCTTGACGAGCGCTTCCAACGCGTCGGCGTCTTCGGCACGAACCCGCGTGCACAGCTTCTCCATCTCTCTGACGTTAGCTCTCAACTGCTGCAGGGAGACAGCAGAGAAACATTTTCAGTGAGGGACCCTACTACTGGGCTGCTTGACCTGATTTAAGGGACACGTTGACAGACGAGGGACAAGAAAACCTGTAGGAACATCAAGTACTCACTGCAGATACAGATGAGACGAGACACACGTCACACGACAAGTTAACAATTGCAATCATTAATTTATCCCAACTCAAAGAGACGGAACTACTGTAAAATACTTTAAAAAAAAAAATGAACAAACAACTTTACACATAACTATTTAATCTCCAGGCAAAAATCCTTGTTAATATTAATTTGGCCGGTTGCCCCTTTTTGGAAACAAGTGCTCATGCTGACAGGTTAAGCATCCCAATAAACTGTTCAAGTGGTGGGAAATGTGTGTGTGTGTGTGTGTGTGTGTGTGTGTGTGTGTGTGTGTGTGTGTGTGTGTGTGCACGCTTTGGGGTTGTGGGCTTAATAAGGTTCAGATACGAGGCTGGGGACCATAAGGCCCTTCTTCCCACTGTGCCCTGAGGGTGACAGGAGGATTACATCCCAGCCATCAGCCCTTCAGGCCGCAGCCCGACCAGCGCTCAGGGGTCAACACGCTGCCGATAACACATTCGGCCAATTACACAACATGAATAAACATACATGCATACTCTCCTCCCTGTGTGCACAAAAAAACTGAAAAACACACCAATTAACAGAGAAGACAGTCGGGGCAGGCAGCGGTCAGCCTGTAAATGAATCGTGAGCGTACGGCGCTCAAAGACAAGACATCTCCTGAGTAGTGCATATTCTATCTATGCTATGGAATACAAGCACACATGCACACACACATCTAAAGCAGAGTAGACTAACCCATTACTCTGGATTAACACCGTGAGGACATGGCAAAGCACTCTGTGGGTGTCCCTGGAGTTTGCAGGGTAATGGTGAGAGGATGGGTTGTGCCTGTTTGGAGTTATTTCACCTTCAGAGACATGACGGCTTCCAGGCAACAACATCCTCTGAGACATTTCACACCCACCATGTGAACAAGGGCACAAGTACTTACACGCACACAAGAGATGGTGCATTTGAGTTTTGGCAACAGCTCTTTTCTTGCCCTGATTTCTACTAGTGAATTTTAACACAGAGAGTCTTTTTACGTTTGTATGTATTTTTTTCTGGACAAGTTAACTATATTAATAAAACAGATTTAACTGAGTTGTCTTCTATTGGAGTGGCTTAGTTGTCATGGAGATGGTTTTAGATGTAATCACATGACTTTAGATGTGTGTCCGCATCATAAGAAGAGTTTGTGTATGGGGGGCGGGAGGGGGAGGGGGCCGGACGACAAGTAAGTTGTCTCTACGCAACTAGTGTTGCGTAAAGACAGAAGGCGGATGATGTTTTTTGTCAAGTAGCTATTTTTCTGTTCATACACAACAAAGTAACATCCTTTTTCCTATTGGTGTGTGACTCATTGCTGTGTGGCTCACTGCCAGGCTGTGACGTGGGTAATATAACACACACACAACTACTGCTGCTTTAGTTTACAGTGTTAGAGTGTTATCTTATACCTGGACAGTTCTGCTGGCATTAATATGCTCCAGATGAAGCCGGTCCCATTGCAGGCTTTGTTGGTACTGTGAGAATGAAAGAGAAACTGTCTGTTATCCATCTGTGGACCACAAGCAAAAGTGTGGATACGAGAGTGCGATCATGTGTCCGGCCAGATTTCAACCGTCACCTTCTGTATGTTATTGTGGTGTTTCTGCAGCCTCTCCAGGTCCGTGGGTAGAGCCACTTTAATGAACTTGTGGATTGGTGCCTCCAAGCGCCTCAGTGTCAGCTTGTTGCCTTCCTCTGCCATGTGTCCTGCCGACGGGCCACAGCCAACGCCGCCTCGTAACTTAAGACACTGCACCTGCTCAGCTTTATATCACTGCCCCCATAGACGCTGTAAATACCAGCAGAGCCCGGCTTTGATGAATACATTAATCAAATATGTGACACACGCGAGTATGACTACACATCGGAAATTGGCACCTCCGTAAGACTAATCCATTTTTTATTGCCAACATCCTTTAGTGAAAACAGTAAGTGAAGTATAACCTCCATGATACACTGATAGTAGCACATCTGTGCAGAAACAACACTAAGGAACTCAGCAATTATTCAGTTTATTGATACTACTTGACAGATTCATCTATAATGAAAAGAAGGGTCATTATAACATTTTCTTTTTTTTTTTTTGCAACCATGGTCAACACAATAACGTCTCATTTAAATGTCATAATAATGCGTTACGATATACCTGCTGTACAGTCAGCGAGGGTTATTTTAATGGCAATTAGAAGTTGATAGGCCTACCATATATTACTAATAAGCTGCCATTCCCGAGGTTGTTTTGTAACTCACTAGTTGATTATGCTTTCGATGTAAGCGTTAAAAGAAACAGCAGATCTAAATGTGAGATAACTGGCCTTATATTCTTAACAGCAGGATAGAAACTTTTCACTGAGTGACATCAGGTGAATAAAGGGACTAGCATGGCGTTAGCTGTTAGCCTCGTGCTGGCGGTTAAATCACACTTATTACATTTGGGTTTGCGTTAACTCACTGATTTATCCAGACAATCGTGAAGCACCTGTCTACTGCCACGTAGCCGTCAGCCAGGGAAACGAAGGTTTAATGACATAAGGTGAAGGTGACAACTTCAACTTACCAGTGGAAATATCCGACTTCTATTCGCTGTTACGACTGTGATGATTCTCTACCACTGTTGGAATTAAACAAGGGACACATTTGCTGATTTTCGGTGACAATTTTCGGTTTTTCTGGCACTTTGTTGTTTGTAAACAATTCACTCCCCAGTGCGTCCGTGAATAGGTTCCGACGTCAAACAGCCACCCCGGCACATTGTGTTCCTCCTCTCCGTGACTGCACCACTAACGACAAGTCACTGCGACGCGATTATATCATCGATCATATTTGATCCTGTGTTATTTTTATTTAGAAGTGCAGCATGTAACAGAAATCAGGACACCGTAAACAATACAAAATTACGACCCCTCCCCAAATCTCCCTCTCTCACCCTTTATTTTTACTCTAACATTATCTATTGTAGATCTCTTTATTTGCCCAGGCTATGTTGCTGGCTACTTGAATTTTTTTCTAAAGAGTTGGGTAAAAAATAAGACAATAGGGCAAATTCATTATTTATTCCTGTTATTAAATACATCTTCATCTCCTAATGGACGACCCTGTACACAAGTGAAACTGAAAGTTGTTGCCACCAGTTTCTGACACCAATGCAATCAGACCTGAATTTATTCTGATTCATTAAATATTCAGTCAAAATAGTGCTGCTGTGGCACCAAGCTACGTTTTAGAAAATGTTTGAATTTAGTGGCGCGTTAACATTCTAATGCAGAAGTTGCTTTGTGTACCACTGTTTTTTAAAGTTTAACTTTGTGTAATTATAATATAAATTGAAACTAACGAGACACATTGGGATAAATGGGTTTTACGAGATACTGTTCTTCATCATAATTACAACATTTTGATCAGAATGGGGAGAGAGTTTGAAGTTACAGAAAATAGCATTTGTGGCTCTTAAAGCATTTCTTATATAAATTGGGTTTTGATCTGGATTTTCAGAATTTAAAACATAAAAATGTACAAAAGCCTGGCCCAAGCTAATCTATGGGGTAATTATTTCAACTAGCAGTTTGTGGTCACTATCTGTAGCAACATACATCAAATGTATATAAACATGGTAATATTGTAAGCAGTGATAGCCAAAACTTCACTAAATAAAACAGATCTGATTGTTATAAGATTAGGTTAATGGACCCAGACAGTTGATTTGATTTAATTGAACATATTTAAAAACATTTTATTGTTTGTTCCGTTTTGCGGTTCAAAGAAGACAGCGTCAATCCTGTGGAAAAAAACGCGAGATGTTTTTGTCTGTGTTGTTTTTTGGCAGAAAGACGAGGACAGAGAAGTGGGGTTCCCCCCAGCCGCTGCTCTGAGATCAGCCTCTGTGAGTGGGTCTATTGCATGTTTCCACTGCTCTTCTTAGGCACCTTTTACCTTTGACATTTAGGCCAACCCCCCACACACTCTTCCCTCAGCGGATGCTCCATGTAAGGGGCCACAGCAAAACCCGCAGTCCCCTGCTACAGGGGATTTCCCCTGGTGTTATACACGTGTTGTGCATGTGTGTGTTCTTGTACTTGTGTGAGTCTGTCTGTCCACTTCCAGGGGACTCCCGTCGCGAGCTGAAGGGCAAGAGCAGAGTTGACAGTGAAAGTCTAAACAGAAAATCACCCAAAAATGTATTTCAGTGTAATACACGTCCAAGTTTGTCAGCAGGAGGGAAATACAGCTCTGTTCACTTATATCTATTTTTGTGATCAGCACACCCTGATGACTCACAGGATGTAGACTTTTTCCACAGCGGACATGTAGACTTGTCATAGAAGGAAAAGCACAGGTGCTCCTAACATTGACGGCGGGTATGTTCTATTCATGCGTTCCAGCGAGCCAGCATGCACAAAACCAGGAGCCTGAAACTGGAGCAGCTAAAACAAATTCAGTCGTATTTCCTTTCATTGTTTCGGTGCGTTTACTACTGTTACATGTCCAACTATCTTCTGTTTAAAAGGTCTATACAGATCACAACCTACTATGAGTTTTTGTCAACCCGCACGTCTCTCTTCACATGAACACATTCGGATATCGTCCGTCTTAAAGGGGTAATTTTACATTTCTGAAGGTATTCGGACACACTTTGCATTTGTCTGCGTGTGCAAATGTATTTGTGTGTATGTGTATGGTCAAATGGGACCTCTAATTAAGACTCTAGGGGTATCTGCTATCTGTCAGCAATAATCGATCGGCCGCAAGACTGACAGCTCACATCGTGTGTTTGTGTTTGTGTCTGCTCACATGCAAGTTTGAGCCTGTGTTCCAGGCTCTCTGCTTCTTGGTTGTTTTTTTTAACTCGTCACTCAGAAATGTCGCCATTGTAAAATGTAACATTGTGCGCATGCTGCGCACAAGTGCACACAACCACACTCTCATCACTGCAAAACTAGTGTGAATGGTCTTTTTCTCAGCTTGCATCCCGAACAGATTATTGTCCGACATGAAACGCCATCACACTTATTTGACAATGTTTAACTATGTTCCCTGGTTGGTCATAGCGTTTAGTGATTTTAGTATCCTGAAAAGTCTTAGATTCTAGAATTAGGAAGGAACACTTTCTTTGGGAGTGAATATTTTGTGTTCAACACGGTGCACTACACACTCACTCTGAACTTTACTTCCCCCACACACACAGTTAGAGAAGCTGTTCACAATTTCACTACCACAGTTACTATCAATCACCTGGCTGCCTTAGGAAGTGTGTGTGTGTGTGTGTGTGTGTGTGTGCGTGTGCTGTTGCGCAGGAGGACGAGTGAGTGATGGCAGTGACAGTATGGATGGCATGTGCTGTGAAATGTCACCGTGGCGATCGATGGTGTTTAACGAGGCTGGAGGCTGATCTGGACCTCATGCTAACATGTAGCTGTTCAGGCTTCCCTCTTCCTCCCCCTTCCCACTCTCCTAATCCCCTTCTACTCTCTCTAAGAGCCCACGGGTCCCCCGGGGGGGAGAGCCAGGGGCTTTTACCTGTCAAGAGGCTTTTGTGTCTCACCATACAGCCATATGAATCGCAAATACAATCAGCTCAATTTAGGCCTTTTGCTGACTTTAAAAAAAGGTCTTGAAAAACTGTAAATCTGAGTAAAAGTAATATAATTAAATAGAAATCAAAGCACAGGACGCAGTTTGGCAGAATAATCAGAACTAGTTTATGATTTCAAAGTGCTGAACAGAAAATCCAGTGAACCAAAGAGAAAGAAAATAAGAATCAAACGCAAACCAAAGAGGGACATTGAAAAACACCAACTTTTTTTTCTTTTTTTGTTTTCTCTTCTTCAAAAAACAACGCACAACTCGTACCACAATATTTGAAAAAGCTAAAAACACTTCAAAATATTAGTTTTGTATATATATATATATATTCATATTTATATCTATATAATTTGCTTTTTTCATATTTTAAACTGCCGCCGTGACTGTGAGTGGGTGGTGGGGGCCCGGGGAGATCCCCAAAGACCAACAGTCTGAGACACAAACACAGCTGTTTTGACAGGCTATGGCCGCTCCTGACAGCTTATAACACACCATGCATATGATCCTCCTCTAAGCGTACACACAAAGACAGTATGCAACTAATCCATCCGCACTCTCACACGGCCTCCACATAAAAACAAATAGAAAAAGAGCATGACTGCGGAATGTTTCATCCCTGGACATACAGCTGTCGAGCACCCTACTCTCCCCGACTCGCCGCCACCCTCCAGAGGAGCAGGTAGGGTGTGTGTCTGTGCTTCTAGCCCTTGTCAGGGTGTAAGTGCTTCAAAAGCCAATTTTTGTCCACGTTTATTCCTCCATTCTTCTTCATGACCTATGATTTAAAAATGAGTTAATTTAAAAAAACAAGAAAAAAACATACTAGAGCGAGTTCAAGTCTGGGCGACTCAGTCATCAATCGTTAGTGCACAACATCTCCTCTGCTGTCTAAAGCGTGGACTGTCTCTTTTTGTTTAGCTGCTGATAGTACAAGTCTTTCAGTTGAAATAATTTAGAGTTTGAAATTAAACCATTAATTCTCCACTTATTCCTTTTGCGGCGAGACAGCACTTAAGAAATTGCACTTGGAATCACGAGCCCAACTCAACAACCACTTCCATGTGTTTAAGAAATATCTGTCTGCTTTGTTGGATGATCTCTGCCATTTCAGGACATTTTTAGTATAAAAAAAAGCCCCCTTCCGAATTTCAGCAGGAGGATTTAGAATACACAGTAACTTGTGTTTCACTGGGCCCGCCCCTCCCTCTCTATTAAAAAGGAGTCCTCATATTGGATGTCAGGCAAAAACACAGGTAAACAGTATTCATAAACCGTCTTTCTTTTTTGCTGGAAGAGGACAGTCATCTTTCTGTCCATCCCAACCTCGTCCTCCTCCCCCACATGAGAAAAAAAACGGAGGATCGAAGAAAAAGTGGTGAAGCGCTTGTTGTGATCGTCTTTTAAACAGGTGAAAAGCGCTCCGTCGGCTGTAGTCAGCTGTTGAGTGCAGAGCGTTTGCTCGTCTCTCTGCTCTGTACAGTCAGAGTGGACCGAGAGTCTCTCCAAATGTGTGTGCGTGCTCCATGAGAGGTCGGGAGGGGGGGAAGGGGGGCCGGAACAGAACGTGACGTGGGTTGTTTCTCTGTGCGGTCATCCCACCCGTCAGTAGGGCAGAGTGTCCAGGAACCTGTCAATCAACGGAGGGGGCTGCACCAGGTCCTCCAGCTTCAGGTAGAAGATTCGTTGAAGGCCCTGGGTCCTCTGGGAGCGGAGCTCTGCTCTTAGACCCAGAACACGGCTCAGAGGGGTCGCGGGCTTGGACGAGGAGGAAGCGGGGCTGCAACCCAGGTGGTCTCTGAGACAACAAATGACTCTGTTCTGCAGCTCCTCGACCCGCTTCGAGTCCTTCAGACCTGGTACTTGCTCTGTGGATCAGACAGACAGAGACATTAGGAAAAGTACAGATTAAGCAGCAGAAATTACATCCTATAAAAAAGCAGACATACATCAGAGCTCGTACAGCTGACAGAGCATTAGCTACATCTTCTTTTATATTGAATTCCACCTCATTAGCCGGTATAGCTAATGTTCTTAACAGGCCTTAACTTGTCTCACTCACTGCGGATCAATACGCAGTCTAACCTAATAAGCCCCCTGTACACTGTGTACACACAAACACACACACACTCACTCACTCACACACAAACACACACACACACACACACACACACACACTCACACACATACACACTCACACACACACACACACACACACACACACACACACACACACACACACACATACACACTCACACACACACACATATATATATATACATAGCTTAAACAAACAGTTAAACACACACTAACACACACACAACACACAAATTGTCCCTGCAATTTAAGGCATTGACAAAAACAAAAGTGTTCAACAATTAGCTGATTATTCGGCCCCGTGAGCAGCCAAATTAAATTAGAAACACACGCATGCACACACACTGCTGCCCGTAGCAACTCCTGTGGCACCCGTACCAGGCTTAATGTGACACTAACTCATTCTGCAGAGAACAGGGTGTCCAGCCCACACACACCACTCACACACACACACACACACACACACACACAAGTCAATCTGCAGGGAGGCTGTCAGTAAGACCAGTCTCACTTTGAGGTATCCAGTATCTGAAGCGTATTTATTGTTTGTTAATATGACTCTTTTGTTTGTTCTGTGTTTGCTTCCACAGAGTCACCGCGGCCCAGCTTTCACGGCGGCTTTCAGACCTCTCGCACACTCCCGCTTCCCCTCTCTTTCCCCCATCCCTTCTTTCTCTATGCGCGCAAACTCCCGGGGAGGGATCAATGACTGCCTTTCTGCAGGGGCCACTCTGAAGCGGTCGATCGCCTGGCGGCTCTGGCGGCTCTGTCGTGGCGGTGCTCCGTGTGCTTTACCGAGGTGGCAGAGAGCCACTGAGAACGAGGCGGACGCCATTCCAGAGCTGTGCTCCACGGTGGGCTGGTCGATGAGGCACAGAGTTAAGTGCTCCCCCAGAGAGTGAGGATGGGGTCGGAGGGCTTACACAGAGGCAGAGGAGGTGGAGGGAGAGGAGGAGGAGGTGGCGGAGTGAGGTAAGAAAGATGAACATAGGGGGGAGGGGGTGGGGGGGTTTTACCCATTACACACTTGTACGGTGTCTCTGATGTAAACGCGTAAAAAGGTGGAATATTAATTGCACCGGCCTCCTCTGTCACCTCTGAGTACCAATCGACTGTTTCTAATGTGCTTTACTGGTCGCTCCCGTTCGTCTCTTCGACTATCCTTCATTTTTTCACACATGCACACTGATTAGAGGGCCAGGTGCGAGGCAGGTGCAGCAGGTGCTCCAGGATATCGGGTTCTTGTTGCAGGCAGAGATGTGTGTTTTTCAGCGTACGTGTGACGTTAGTGGATGTATTCACCTGATCACTGTCACATGAGTTCACCCGCAGGAAAAGCTCCGGATAAAGGATTTTCATCCGTATATTTTTGCGAGAACAGCTTGTATGATCGACAATGTTCTTTGTGGGGGTTAATGGAGAAGGGCAGCAGACTCGCAAAGCAGGCTTCTTTTTTTTTTGTCAACCTCATTCATACGTTTTTGTATTTCATTTTTCTCCCGATTGTGATTTTGAGATTTGAAAGTCATTGGCTTGTTGTTTTTTTACCTGTGAGCAGTACAAGGGCGGCCAGGCAGGCAAAGGCGGAGGCGTCCAGGTTTAGGCTCTGGAGGTGGGTGGAGAAGTCCCGGACGGAGTCCAGCCACTCTCCGAACCCACGAAGGCACTGGAACCTGTGCAGCACCAAGCCATTACAGAACACTAGTTTATCCTCCGACAACATCGACCTGAGACGAAGAGGAAAAAGGAGATGACGGATTTTGGTTAGAGCTCTCGTCCAATGAAACGCCGCAGTTTCCCTCATGTATTGTAAATATGGCTTGAGATACTGGGGCAAGGAAACAATTACAATAAAAACAATGAGAAAACCTGGCAGTATGTGCACCCACAAACAAACGGGACACACATCAAACACAGGCATGCAGCTGATTAAGGTTGTGTTTTCCAAATTATAGCATTTTAAAACATTCCTGTGTTTCCTTCTGGCAGACGGGGTGAGGGGGTTAGAGCAAAGTTCTGCTCCATGTGTGCGTGTATTAGATAGGTGAAGTACTTTAGCTTTAATGTGCCCGGCCTGCGGTGTGCAGTGGAAACACGAAGCCTTAATGAGGAAATGAAAAGGCTTCTCAGATGCATTTAGCCATCAGTTACTCACGACACACAGCATCCCACTCGTTTACCACCATGCAGAGAGGGAAAGAGAACAAGCAGTGAATGAGGGGGGGGGGGGGGGCGATGACTAGTCTTCATTACCGCTTAAATGAAGAGCAGGTCTTTTTTCAGAGAGCAAGAAAAGTGTTTTGTTGGAAGATCTCTAGAAAATGGGTCAAGGGCAGAAAGTGTGCGCTTGAATGACGAGATGACGAGAGAGGGAAAGCCTGAGAGACGTGGGGGGGGCGGTAAGGAGGAGAAGCATAAAATCCCATCCCGCACAGAAACATTGGTTTAGCAGTTATGAAAAACAGACAACAAGGTGGTGGGGGGGGGGAGGTATACGAGTGATGTTGAGAATTTAAATAAGAACAGATGATGGGAGAGATGAGTCAAAATCGGAGATGCTCACCGAATGACTGACTGATTTGTATTTTTTACACTAAGTAAGTTAACCCCTGGATCTTTGACATGTCCCTTAAATGTCTTCAATGTTTATGCAAACTACAGAGTTCTAGAGTTGTAAGTTGTATTCCCGATCAGTTTATGAGCAATTCTTCTTGATATTGTGCATTTAAGATTCTGAATGTAGTGACTTGAGTGTTGGCATGGGGAATATGTTTAATCTTCTACTTCATAAAACAGAAGGAACAGCATGTTAAGAATTCAATAGAATATAACTCACTATAAATGTGTATGAGACCTAGTTGATACGGTGAATTACCCTGATTGAGTAAATTCCCCTCTGGTACACTGAGCTACCAGCGAGTTACACAATTCTATTTGACCCATGTCTGATAGTAGCACATGAGCAAAACTAGCAGACAGGCTGGCAAACAATCAGCCAGGCAGATGCACACACACACACACACACACACACACACACACACACACACAGCTGGATGTCTGCCACACATTCCACTCACTCCTGACTACACTGTCACCACGGTAATCAACCAATAACCACAGAAACTGTTTGGTAACGGGGTGCTTACGGCAATGCCATCCCAGAAAAGCAAAGCAAATTTACTCTGCACACACGCACACACACACTCAGACACACACAGCCTCACAAGCGTACGGACATATTCTTGCGCAGAGGTCTGCGAGGCACCTGAGTTCAGCACGGGGTCAATGTGAGGCTGCGTCAACAAGGAGATGGGAGTGCGGACCTCGTCCTCGCAGATAAAGTAAGACACGGCCGTGTTTGTGCGGTTTCTTCTGTGCCGTGGGAGTCTGGCTGATGGGAAGATGAGCGGTGTGCGTGAGCATGTGTGCGTTCGACACGGGCCCGTATGAGTCCACCATTTAGCGTGAGTCAGAGTTCCAGCATGATTTCCCCTCCTGCTGGGACTGTGATGCCACCACCCGTCCTCTACCCACCCTGCACCTGGAACTTCAGCGGGAGGAGGAGGGAAGGTTGGGATTCTACATCATCAGTGTGCGTGAGTGTGTGTGAGTAAGTGTGCTTGAGTGTGTGACTGTGTTGGGTTTTCTTCACCAGACGACAGCGCAGACAAAGGGATGAGCTTGTATCCCAACCCCGTCCTCCTCATAAATTTGACCAGCCGCATGCCTTACGAGAACAGAACGGTAACCCGGGGCAATTCTGAGGCAACGATGGGCAAGGGCAGTCATAATGGCACCACAGGTATCCAAGAGCGAGACACACACATGCTCACACACAAACACACACATACAACCAATGGAGGCTTGAAGTAAGTTAAGTCGATTTCCTTTTTTAAAATTTCAGTCAGCTGAATAGAATATGTATTTCCTTCTATGACAGTCCTTTTCAGATACTCAGCTGACTAGCTTTTAGATGGAATTGATCCAGCCAATTCACAGTTCACAATGTTAGCACAGTTTTAGGCCGCAGAACACACACAGAGCTCTCTGTGCGTCAGATATCAAACGAGAGGAGCGGAACTCTGTGGGTGTAGCTGCTGTCACAGACTTCCATTCATAATTTGGTTCAAATAGAGATTACTCAGCTCCACTTCTCCTACTATGGAAGTTTCTAATAAAGTCGTTGTGTTTAAATATTGCGAAAGATGTTTTTAGATGCGCACATTTGGATGGAGATGTGTGCACGCGTTTAAAAAGTGAAAATAAGCTGCTAAAAGTTGTCATTGATTTTTCTTTTTGTTCAGGCATCAAACCCCCTCGTCCCATCTTACCTGTGAGCCAATCGCAGGACAAACAGCTCCAGGAAAGCAGAGTCAATGAGCAGGTTCTGATCGTCACGCTGAAGCTCGGAGAACCCGGGAAGCCGCTCTGCCCAGCATCGTGTGGTTTCCATTGAGATGGTGAGCAGCCTGTAGAAGAGATGGATGTGCTCGGCATCTGAGGAGGAGGAGGGAGGGTCGGCAGCGCTGAACTGGGGAGGGAGACAAACGCCTGAATGATCCCCCTCAACGAGCCATATTTCTCACTGAATGCATTTTCTTTGGCTAAAATGGAAAAAGAGAGTGTGTTGGCGCTACCTGGCTGTAGTCGAGGTCCCGAGGGGTGCAGTGAGAATAAGCCCTGACGAGAGCGGAGAGCAAGCTGAGGGGCGGAGAAGGAGGAGACGCTTCTGTCTGAAGGGGGCTCTTTGGTTTGGAAGGCAGACGGCCTCGGCGCCCCTTCAAGCTATCAGTACGAACCACTGTGAACACAATATGGATGAAAATGTTTGGCTTAATCGTCCAATATCCACGCAGCATTGACAATAACTTCTAACTGAACTGTCATCAATAGCGGTAGGATTAGAACTGAGGCTTTCATCACTGCTTCCCAAGCTTCCCACAGCCCCCACACAGGAGGCCACTGGCCACTATAGCCAGCAGATGGCGGTGGAGCTGCTCTACGGGCAGCACGTGTGTCACAGGGATGAAGAGGTGCGTTTAGGTTTGTTTGCATTCATGACAGAACGCGTGTGGGGGATAAAAGATGAAGAGAAGTGAGGGCAGTGTGACTGCGCGTCGCCGCTTCACATCAGCAAAACATCCCCACTGTGCGACAACAGGCAGCTGTAACTGATGTGATGATGCACATGCAGAGAACGTGTGAGAACGTGTACGTGTTCTCGACGTGTAGAAAAAAGTGTTCGATGGATGCATCAGCCATGTCATTAGCGGTCCATTAATCCCTGATTGCAGAGACAAACGTCATCATCGTGGACTGGAGGTCGAACGTAAGTTGCAGTAGGATGTGTGTGTGTGTGTGTGTGTGTGTGTGTGTGTGTGTGTGTGTGTGTGTGTGTCGTATGGTCGCTTCTCTCTTACCTTCCTTCACCATGCCCACACTCAGACACTTCTGGAAGCGGCAGTATTGGCAGCGGTTGCGTCTCCTCTTGTCCACAGGACAGTTCTTACTGGCCAGACACACGTACTTGGCGTTTTTCTGCACGGTGCGCTGGAGAGAGAAAGGAAACTCGCATTCCGATATCAGCCTCCAAACACAATCAGCCAACTAATATTTGATTTGTTTAATTCAATTTCTGCCCCCCCCCCGCCGCTTCCCCATCAAAGAACGAAAGCGGAATCTCGCAGGTCAGATTTTAATTACGCTCTGAAAGGCGGCGCTGACATCAGAATAATTAGATAAAATTAATTTCCCAACAAGCCTCGCCTGCAGGAGGGACAATTGTATTAGCGCCGGAGCTGACAATGGGGACCGAGCGTGTGGCGGACCGAGGCGGGTCCCGCGAGACTGGGGGGCACGTCGGTCGTAAGAGCTGCGTGATCAGATTGTTTGTGAAGCTCGTGGGTCAGTTCACGGGACCTCCGGGGCCTCGCGCGCTGCCCCTCTCTCAATGGGCCCCGCGGGAGCTGTTTTCTCCTCGGCTGGCACGGCGCGATTATTACTGACCTTATTAAAATGAAATCGGAAACGAGCCACGTGGGGCGGGAGGGGGGGGGGGGGGGGGTGAGCTCCCCGCGTGGATGAAAGACAATATTAACAAGAGTGGCCCAATGTCCGTCCGCAGTGTGACAGTGCAGGAGAAGCGCGCAGTTTTTTGGTCAGTATTGTTAATAAACAAACCACAGGGGTGGATACTATCAGCACTGGTGCAGATCTGTTACATCCGGTGAGGTCTCCCGCTTGACATCCTTTACAGACGTCTTATTTTGGATTAAACTCCCAATGAGCAAGTCTTTGCCTGAGGTGCAAGTCTGTTACAGCGAATTACACGATGATAAAATTATAATTCGCAACGGTGTTTACATTCATACTCATAGTCGCACTGTGACTCCAGGAATCCACTCGGACAAGACAGCAGCAGAACAAACTCCGAATTAAACCAAATGCAACATGGAACGTGTCGCAGCTTCTCCTCTTCTTTAACGCCTCTAAAACACATCAAAACAAATAAATCCAATTAGGAACCCCTCGCGCCACACATGCCCGTGCCCCCGGGAGACCAATAACACACCAATTATTCCATATGCTCCGGCGCGAGTGCGGGACTGGCGCGTAATGGGCGCCAGCGCCGGATGAGAGCCGTTGCCATGGCACCGCAGATCGCTATGAATGAAATCCCTCTCATCCCTGCGATGGTCAGTGACCCGTGCGCGCGGGGATACGTTAGTTATGGTCATTAATGTGTTTGAGAGGAAATAACATCCGTTTAGTGGGAGATCGAACTAAACATGAACCGGAATGAGAGGCTGCATATGTTTACACGTGAATAAGTCCGCACCGACGCGAACAAAAAGACTTCCTCAGTCTTTCGTGTATGGAATTAAGCTGCTTGAGTTCAACTTTTTGTGTGTTACTCTGATGTTTGGATTTGAGGTGTACATTTTTTTATTTCTTCTCAAGGTTTTGCAATAAGTCATGTATAATGTGTTTTTTTCATGTTTTCATGTAAAAGTGGTGTAAACTGGTTTGCTTTTGGTGACCAAAGGGCGTAATAAAAAATCAGCTTCCAATAAAAGGCTAAATTTGGAATGATCAATGAGCAGGCCTATGTCTCATGTCTCTGCCATGTCTCTTTGGTGTGTATGTGTGTGTTTTTATTTATGTGCGTGTGTGTGTGTGTGTGTGTGTTTGGTTGGGGCTCTTGTGACCTTGCCTTCTAATAAGCAACGTGGGGCAAGACTGGCGTCTCAGAGCAGAGACACGACATATCAGTCTCTGATCGTCAAACCAAATTATCTCAATATGGTTAGCAAATCTGTAGACCCTATTGTGCTCATTGCATTTAGTTAAGCTCATTGTGTGTGTATTTTTAAAAGCACGGTTTATATATTGTTCTTGGTCAATTACTCTATGTCTTGTTTTTAAAGAAAATGTTAGTGGCTCAATTTCACTTTGAGGGCGACACTGACCAATTTCAAAATTTGCATCCGGCATCTGAAAGTGGAGGCTTGGCAGTAACGCAGGCGAGGTCAAGGTCTTAATGAAAACGCGTTCAGTTAAATGTTGACATTCAGAGTTGAGGAATGAGACACATGGAGTACAATCCCGTTCACAAACGCCCACGTTTACAGGAGCTCACGCGCTGTGGGTGTTTTAGGGGCTGGATGGAGGCAAATACTTGACATGTAACATGCGCTAATAGCCTGAGCCTGAATTAAAAGCCTCTAGGGACTTTGTTCCCCTTCTCCTCCTCCTCCTGCCTCAAATCCTCTGCTTCTTAATCCGACGCAATCGCTCTCTCTCTGTCTCTGTCTATAGAGGAAGTGAAAGGGTGATTTAAAGAGTCATGTGTGGGTACCTCCAAGCTGATTTAATTGTTTTCCTTTACAGAAAATATAAACTTAACTGTTAAAACAAGTGTGCAAAGTAATTCTATGTCTGTGTATCTGTGGGGGTGTTTAACTTGTTGTATTTCCTGAATTAATTAAATGTTGATGTTTCAACATTTAATTAGTATATAAAACACTTTTAAATAATATTATTTGTGTCCTGCATAGTGCGAGTACAACATCTGATCAGTTAATTCAACAAAACATATTCTAAATAGGTTTACTAAATTCATGGAAACCAGTGAATGGGCCACATTCTCCTGCAAATATACAACATTTTAAAAAAAGATTTAAGACCGCAAATTAATTCACATTGAAAATATTCCACAGATTGCACTAATGACATAACAAAAGTGACAGCAACCCTCTGTTAATGTGTATTAACCATTCATGGATAATTAAATATAATCAGAAAAAATATTTTTAGGGAACAATAAAACCATCAGGATAATGGAGGTAATGTGCCTGATAATATGGAAATGAGCAGGTGTTTGAAAGGCATGTTTCAGTTTCTGCTGTTGCATCCCAGACTAAGGGGGAGACAAACTGATAAACATGAACATTGTATATACGAATGTGTTGCTGTGTGCACGGCTGATTGCTTTTGCATGTGTGTGCAAAGGAAACATGGTGAGGTTTGACAGGCTGCTGAGCGCCGCAGCAAGCAGACAGCCTGCGGCCCGCTGCCACCAGACGCTGCTTTCATTAATTACTAAATAAAAACTAATTGTGAAACTAATTGAAAAGAAGGATAATTCATTTCCACCTACCAGAGGCATTATTCAATTACCTCTGTGCCCCCCCCCCCCCCTTCTTGCTCTCTCTTGTCTCATTCAGCCATGCTTAACAGCCAGCAAATGTTATAAATCAAAAACTGTGCAAGGAAATGACTCCACAGACTGACTGGGAGTTTGCTGTTATTTGCATGATGTAGTGTACCACAACCACGTGTAGCAGAGGTTTGGTCTATCGTCTATGACACGGGGATGATTCAAATAAAGATATAAAAAACGGCATGACTAAAAAACATTTCCTGATTATGTTTAACTGAGTGGATGCACGTGTGCGGTGAATTGGATGTCAGACCGTGAGATGAAGAAAGTTATAGATTTACTTAATTTGATGGACCGCATCTCAAACTGACTCATATCGTCCTCAGAAGATGTCAGTGAAATGTGGTCAACTTTGTGGCTACTGATTCACTACAAACACCCAAGAAGGAAACTTAGATTTTAAAGAGGGTTCCTTTCCCACTTGACTCATAGCACGAGTGACAGTGTTTGTGTTTTTCATCATCCCGTGTTCTCACCCAACACGAGCAAGCAAGTAAACACAGACAGACCTTGCAAAAAGACACAAGTTGGTTCACTGGGTTGCTGGGACAGACAACCCCTGTGGGAGTGTTGCGCTTTCATGATGACTCTAAAGACGATTTGAGAGGGCGCGGAGACGAGTGCAGACGGGAGGTGAGGCGGCCGCAAGAAACTTGCCTCAAATCAAACATGTCAGTCAGTTTAAAGCTTCTTGCAGCTACGGGGTGATATATTAAGGTGGCGTGTGTATGTGTTTGTTGGAAAGAAGCCACAGAGGCACGAGAGGAGTACTTTAAAATACTTTTAGGAGTACATAGAATAACAGTAGTTATTTCTTAAATTGACAAAGGTTTTAAGCTTTGATGAGGCCTTCTTTGTTGGAGCAACAACCCTCAATGTCATATTTGTTCGAAGAAGTTTTTACCTTGAAGAAGCCCTTGCAGCCCTCACAAGTGCGCACGCCGTAGTGCTGGCAGGCTGCATTGTCCCCACACACCGCACAGGTGCCCTCCCCTTGGGGTCCCCGTGGCGGAGGCGATGGCAGGCTGTCTCCTAGTAGGGGGCCACAGGGCCCAAGAGCCAGGGAGCGGAAGGCGAGGCTGCCTCCCCCGGCCCCGCGGTGCAGCTGGTACATGGGCTGCTCCAGGGGCGGACAGTGAGGATGGGAGACAGAGGAGGACGAGGACGAGGACGAGGACGAGGTGCGAACCAGTCCTCCAGCCAGGCTGTCGTAACCGCCGACGCTGCCCCCGCTGTGGGGAGGCGAGTGCTGGTAGAAGTGCTGAAAGCGGGGCGACTTGAGGGGGCCCGTCTCCAGGCCGGAACCCAGAGAGTGCGGGTGCGAAGGAGGGGCCAGGTGGTGCTCCTCCCACAGGAATGACGTGCCGGGCTGGGGGGGCATGGACGGGGTGGTGGGTGTGGATGGGGGAGACTGTTTAAAGTACATAGTGGAGGACGACATGGCCTCCAGTGGCGGAGCAGTCGGATAGCTCTCCTCCTCCTTTTTGATGGGCCTGTGTGTGGGCATCTGGTAAAGGCAGGAGGACTTGGGCTCATAGCTCCCCTCCACAAAGACATTAAAGCTGGGTAGGGAGGTGGTGGCGGCGGCAGAGATCTCACCGCCACCCAGGTCCAGCTTGGTGTAGTCAGGGGTCATGAGGTCAGAGCTATAGCTGTCTCCCTGGTAACTGAAGGACTGGCCAGAGTAGGCGGAGCCTGGAGGGGCGGGCCCGTATTGAGCCTGCACACAGGGCATCTCTGGCAGGGAGACAGAGGACACGCAGAGGACAGGTTAGAGCCGCGTGGCATATCAGACCACGTGTATTCCAAAAGTTTTCAGTCAAATGCATTGTATTGGTGTTAGTAATGCACAGCTGTATGGCAATGAATAGTCAGTGAGGAAATTACAGGTAACCACTGATTTAAATATAAGAGCAGGACATCAGGAGGGAAACTACCCACAGAACAGAAAACAGGAAGGGCACTTCTGTAACTACATGCAGGGTAGTGCCAAACAGGGTCAACAATTAAACAGTGCATGACTAAAAGTTTCTGCACAGCTTTATTGGAACAGGCAGTTTTTCAGCTCTTGAGGTGTCAGAAATTTTGCAGAAAGTTTTCTGAATGCACCATTTAAGGAATATGAAAATCTTTCCATTTACCACCATCTACTCAATTTCCTGCTTGAGCCCTTTATGCACCTCGCTGCATAAGTAGAAACAGTTGGAGCAGGCACACACCACCGCAGACACTGTCGACTCTCCCACCATTAGTTCAGCAAGAGAAGCTGCACATTATCAGCACGCAACCTCTGAGAAAAAGCTGTCAAAGCAAAGATCCAAACCCACTCAATTGACCGAAATGCTTAAGTATATGCAACCAGGCTGTGTGGTGTGTTTGTGTTGCACGTGTGTGTGGGTGGGTTACGGTGGTTAATCAGATGGGAAAGCAGATGAGATAACAATAAAGAATAATGAAATCCCAATGGTGGCTGTGGATGCTCTCAGCCCCCCTTCCCCGCCACACACACACACACACGCACACACACGCACGCACACACATACACTCACACACACACACACACACACACACACACACACACACGCACATGCAGACTCAGATATTTCCTTTAACTGTAACAGACGCCATGTCTTGAGCTTTTCCGCTTGGTTTGATTGCGTCACAGCAGCTATAGGCCACCTCCTCATCATCTGCGTGTTTGTGAACTCCGGCCCTGTCTTATCAAACCCCTGACGTAATACTCCACACCTGTGTGTGTGTGTGTGTGTGTGTGCGTGTGTGTGTGTGTACGTGTGTGTGTGTGAGAGAGTGCGGGCGGGCTAATCGGTCATGAGTGTCAGCGCAGGCGACGTTTTGTGGTGTTTGCTCGTCGCTCCTGAGAAGGGAACTGTCAACACAGCGCAGCTCCCATTGACGCCCAGCATGCGCGCTGCCGTAATCGGCCTCGTCCAACGCGCGTCATGTTTGTCTACAGTCAAATATGCGAAACACCGGCTCCTGCTGTTGTTACAGCGCTCACAAATACCTCGATCCAAAGCGACGCGCTCAGGCTCGGTCAGGTAATTAAAGCCCCCCCCCCCCTCCCCCTTTAAAAAAAAAAGAGAATCCTCCACTAACGCCTGTAGGCTGATAATAATACAAAATAGTTTCCATCTTTTAGTTAGCGACCGTGTGTGCCTGCGGTGCACGGATGTCAGTCATGGCAAAAGCAGACTGAGTGACACATTCATTTGAGCCGCTCTAACACAATTAAATGATTCCTTGAGGGGCAGCGTGCGTTTTGGCTGTGGGGTTTCGAGGAACAAAAGGATGACTCAAAGCGTTAATTAACGCAAAAGGGACACTCATCGATGTATTAACTTATCCATTTATTTCATTTATTTATTTCGGTGGTTCTTATGACAAGATGAAAAAAGGGTTTAAAAAAAAAAAGAGAGTTGACCTCTTACACTTGACCTATTGGGAAAAGTTAAAATAACCTTGCAATTGGTTTGCAAAGAATGGCGGTTTCTTTGGTAATTTCAAACTTTAACTTTAAATCCATTATTGGGGGGAAGCGTTTGGAAATAAACCTACACTTGTTTAAATGAGGATATGAGTCAAGCTGTCAACCTACGGGTGCTTGACATAGTTGTTACATAGTTACGTTGTTTTTCTTCTTCTACTGACCAGCTCTTTAACCCACTTGGAAAAACACACATGTGGGCGTCATGGGGCCTTTCTATACCTCAAGTACTTTTGCAACTGATTAGAGGCATCAGAGGAAGGAAGGAATTTATCTGTGAGCGGAGGAGAGTAACTTCTGGCTGTGGCTATTTGTTGTGTCAATAGGTCAAGCCCCAGATCACTGTTGGGTCTTTATTTGTGTGCGTGCTTGTGTCTTTGTGTGTGTGTGTGTGTGTGTGTGTGTGTGCGTTGGATGTGTTCAAACCAATACAGTATTTTATCAACAGCTATGTATATGCAGACAGAAAATGAAGTGAGAATTCATACTCCCGAGAAGAGGAGAATGACAAAAAAGAGAGAGGCCGATCATTTTCGCAAAACAAATAATATACAGACCATTTAATTAAGATCTACTGCCAACTGTACAGTGATGTTTGTTTAACGTGCTCGTCAAGTGACGAAGGATGCTTTTGACAACTTGTTTACTCAAACACACACAAACTTCCACGCACACTTACAAATGTTTTAACCAGTAAACGTGTCCAAGGTGTCAACATGAACCTGCATGTGCTCATTCTTCCAATAACACGAGCCCTTATGCTGAGAGAAACCTGTAAAACCTCGGTCGTGTGTGTCGGCACACAGCACATTCTTTTTTGTGCTTTACCTCTGGTGGTGTTTCTATAGCTTTCTCTCAGTAACACAGACAGACACACACACACACACACACGCACACACACACACACGCGCGCACACACACATGCTCCCTAGTGCACCTTCTCACTCATAATAAACAATACAAATAGAACTGTATCTGTGGAGCATCTTTATTTTCATGCTGCTGCAGCTAACGAGGAAACCTTTATCCAACACCACCCTTAGATTGTCTTTTTTAGCAGGTGTGTGTGTGTGTGTGTGTGTGTGTGTGTGTGTGTGTGTGTGTGTGTGTGCGCACGCACAAGCAGAGGACAGATAACCCAAGCAGAGTCAGACACAGGTGGTGCAGCGTTGAGGCGAAGGGAAACAGTCTCTAACCTCGAGGTGTGCATTTCAACTGGACAAACTGCAGCTGTTCCAATAACTGAGCGCGCTTGTTCATTGTCAGAATGCCATAGATCTAACAAATAAAAACATGAAGTTGCAGATATAAATACAAAGACACATTTTTTATGGGGTCAGTGAATTATGACATAAACTCAGTGGCCTCACAGAATAAGTATAGGGATTTATATGCACACAGGCCCACGCGAAATAACACTTACGTATGTGAAATATCAGGATTTTTTTTTATCATGGTTTCAATTTATCCAGGGCAAGAAATTATATTATGTGGAGATTGAATATTCACTTGTCCAGGATACAAATAATAGGCCTAAACAAAAATTGCTGTAAATGAAACAGTACAAAAAGGTTGTATTAAGAAGATTAAGAAGCTGTCTTTGATCAATGTGATTCACCCCTGATTTACTTTGCCTGGTCTCAGAAATATTTTAATCTAAATATTGAAAAGTCAGTTCAGTCTGTATTTGCCAGCTGACACACACGATCCCCCATAAAGGGCACACGAGCTGACACTCGCACACAATAAAAAGATGATTTTAAGATCAAAAGAACATTTTAAAGAATTGTCTTGGATTTGCCATGCAATCTTAAACGCAGTTAAAAACAACCAATTCTACACGTAACCTCGGATTTCACCATTAAGCGGCCAATTTACTTCTCGGGGACTGCATTTATTACAAACAACAATACACTTAACGCAACCAGACACCCATTACACTAATAGATGCACAAAAACAGTCACAACATAAACCACAACAGTCGCATTCACGAGAGCAGATGCGAAGAAAGAAAGACACAGAGAAAGAAAGAACAAAAGAAAGGAAAACATTTGATGGAATTGAAAAGAAAGGGCTGTGCTGTTCACCTGGTGAAGGAGCCTCGCGCTGAATGGTGCTGAGTGTCCGGAGGTGAGGGCGCGCGTGGCCGCGGCCGTGACAGGGCTCCTGCAGCGGGGAGGAATCGGCGGGCGTCGCGAAGGAAACGTCCGATCGCCGGTGCTGAAAGCTCGGCCGGACTCGCTCTTCCGAACCTGGTTCCGTGGGACAGATGTCTGGGTTACTGGCGGTGATGTGGCGGCCCGCTGAATCAAAAGTGCGCGGTTCCTGCACTCGGTGATCACCGTAAGGCAGCGATGTGATCACTCGACTAATCGATGTTTCCTTTTTTTTTTTTGTTGCCCAAACTTCCTTTGGCCAATTTCCTCACGCTCTTTGCACATCAAAATGTTTAAAACCCAGATAGATAATGCCACACTATTTAGGGGGAAAAAGCCGAACTTAATTTTGCACTTAATAGATAAAAAATATTTGTGGAAAATATAATCTAACAAATAAAGTAAAGATGTTGGATGAAAATGAGCAGAACGAGGAAAGGATATTTAAAACTGCGCGCACATCGTTGCAGATGCAATTCGCCTAAATACGGCAAAACAGCAATTCTCCCCGTAAAGCCCATTGCGAGGCAAAGCAGAAGTAACATGTGCATGTTAAAATGAAACTAGACCAACATTAAACAGTGCCCAGGATCTGTGCTACAAAGAGAATAATATGAACCACAACTGAGGAACTTTAGCTCATTTCAAAAGTTGCACTTACGTGGGCGAAAGGTTTCATTCAACACTGAGCTGTCCTCTCTCGGGATAATAAGAGTCTAATGTTCTGCAGCTAAAGACCAGTTCAACCGGGCTGCAACTGTACACAGGTTTTACAAATACAGACCTACAAAAGTGGACACTTTTATGAAAGCCGTCTTTGACAGTCCCTTCAGGCCATCGGTTTTCTTGTCTGCGATCGCCACCGCCGACTCAGGGTTCATCCAGAGAGGAATTTTAAAATGCGAGAGTCGGACCTGAAACAGAAGCGGTAAGGCTTCTGTGCGCCGTGCGCCTCCGACTCCCTCACTGCAGAGGGGCGCACCATGGCCGCCGGATTCCAAGGCGCACAGCGCCCCCTTTCTGTCACAGCTGCACTCTCCAATAAACAAACGCGCTCTCTCTCTCTCTCTCTCTCTCTCTCTCTCTCTCTCTGTTAGACACAGCATCGCGGCCATACGGCCGGATACAGAGACCAGATCTCCGAGTCTGCATCTGGACCGACCCTGAGCTGCACGGAACTGCAGTCCGCTGTCATTTATTTGCTTTGTGCCAACAAGTACAAGTCCTCCACTTTGTGTTGGATAGCAGACACTTTTCTCCACAACCGGACCAAGTCTGAGAGGAAACGTGTGACTATCCTTCACGAGTCGTGAAATATGCTTGAAGAGAGAAAGAAAGAAGACAAACTAGAGTCAACAAACCATTCCGGCTGTATAACACTTACTTGAGCAGGATTGATTTTTTAACACACTCAATTCTGTGTGGGACCATTTGAGTGGAGAAAATAAATTTACACGCCAATAAAGGTTTTTTGGTTATGGAAGTTTTAGAAATAGAACGCAAAATAGCCCCCGTTCTTTACTCAGCTTATGAAGTGCACAACTGTGCGTAAACGTACTGTTGTGAAATGTTAGGAGAGTGAAGATAACGCTGAGACAATATTCACTCAAAAAAAAGGAAAAAGATAAAACAAACACTGAAAAAGTGAGACATTCGGTCGTTTTTTTTCTCACTAAATGAGCAAACGCCCCCCCCCCCTCCCCACACTTGCTGTCTTCTCAGGCCGAACCGGTCGGAGGGGCTCTGGCCCTGCGCGCACCGGTAACCAAGAGAACGGCACAAGAGCCGCAAAGCACGCGCCCCGGAGCGCCGGTAGCCCCCCGGTAGCCCCCCGCACCAATAACCCGGGACAGCGCGGGGCTTCCAGCAAACAGAGACAGAGAAAAGAGAGCACATTAAAGTAGAGAGCAGAGAAATATGCGAGTACTGTAAATCAGTCCTGAGAGGGGGGGGGGGGGGCTGTCAGAAGTCCCCTCGTGCGCGGTTGCGTGCGTGCCTAAACCTGAGTGCGTGAAAAGGGAGGAGGAGGAGGAAAAAAAGCTGAATAAAACTAGAAAATAACCTCGTTAGTTTCTTATCACACGTCATCGGATTAGCACCAAGGCGTACTTTTGCCATAGAATATATCGTCCGTGATGCCGTCAGACGCTTTAAGGAAACACAGATGCTATTCGGCTTCATGGTGAAGAGGGTGTTTTCCTGCGATCAGTGGTGTGAGAGGCTTCACAGAGACATTAGACAGTGAGACGGTTGATATTTGCGATTGGCCCCCAGGCAGGTGGACAGCTCACGCTGACTGATTGTGGCGCATTAATCGTAAAGGTGGACCAAAGCTGAGAGGCTTTACGTTTAGGTTTCATTTGTGAAACAACAATCTAAATTCACGGCCCATGTGGGCCAGATTGTGTATAAACACAAACCCTCACCCCCACTACACATTGCGTTTACTCATAAACAACACAACCCTTCGGACAATCCAAAATGAGGGGGTGAAAGCACACACGCACATATGGAGAATGACAGCAAACAGCTTTAACTCTGCTCTCTCTCAGCTTCTGAATGCAGGTTACACTATTGTCCACTCAGACCATTAGTGCGCCTGACTCCACTATTCAATGTCTCAGTGAGAGGCATCTCATTTCCATGACAACGAGAAAGGACATAATACCTTTTTTTCCCAGCGTAAATTGAAATGTAATTCAGCTTCATTTTGCTATTTGGAGACGCCACACGATGTGAGCAGCGTGTTGGAGTCTGACATATCAACAGGTTAGACGCACCGTGTTGGACGGGGCAGACACGGATGATCATAACAGAGTATCGATTTTAAGAATTAAGGTCGCTTTATATCAATATGAGGAAACGCACAGTGGAGAGATAAGTTCTCTATGAGTCCGGCAGTCCAACAAGTGGTACGCGCTGTACCGGAGAGTTTTACACAGTCATTCATTCACAGATTACTCACTGGTTTGCTGTAAAGGTTCCGTCTTTACATGTGGTAACAACCTCGCATCAAGTATCCCATTTTCATCCAGAATAATCACCAAGAGTCGGAATAATAAAGACAAATATGTAGAAAAAAAGTACAGCTAATATTGCGGAGGATCAGGATGCATCGGCGGCAAAAAGTTTCTTCTTCTAACTTAAAGTAGAAAACATGTGAAACGGAATTTAAAAAAAGAAAGAAAGAAAAACTCCCGGATATAAGGAGTGTGTCTTCGTCCGTTCCCGTGAGCGTGTCAGTGCTGATGGGTGCTTAGCAAAGTGTGGAGTTGCAACGCGGGTTTGTTTATGTGCGCCGTCTGAAGGGAGAAAGTCAAATAGTGCATTTATGTGGGCTCTGCCGGCTGGTATGCGCTACGTCAATGTGACGCCATGGGAGAGGTGACGTCACTCGCTCTCCCTCGCTCTCTTTCTCTCTCCACTACAGTACCAGACGCACAAGTCCCACTCACAGTGCCAGAAACAGAGAGAGAGAGCGAGAGAGAGAGGGGGGCGTGGATCAGAGGGAGTGAGAAGTTGAGGCGGTTGGTTTGATGGTTGCAGCGGAAGAAGCCAAGGAGGATCCGGCGGGAGTCATTCGTCGTTTTTACACCAGGCTCTTTATTTCAGTCTCTAATATCATCGTTAGAATGGAAACTAAATGGAAGAAAACAAAAATGTACAATTTAACTTTCCCTAAATCTCACAAATAAAAGGCCAAGCCACAGCAATCAAATTATTTGTTGAACTGAGCCTTTCAAGAAATATTTGATTGCGGTGCACACAAGTTTTTTTCATTATGTTTTTAAATGTTATTACATTTTATCGTCGTCCTTTACAATATTTTATGGATAAACATTGCATTTTTACGGTTGTTTAATACTTACTGAAGATATTGTGCCTTATATCGAGAAGAAGGCGTTGCTTCTTCCTGGCTATTTGCATGACCTCCTCCTATATCTTCCTTCCTTTAGACATTTGTTCATCGCCAGGTTCTTTTGAGAAGTAAAGTTAGATGAATTGACCCTTTTCCCAATACAAATTAATTTATTTCAATTTACTAATCAGATAGCAATGTCCAGCCTTATTTAGTCAAAAAGCAAAATCACGTAAAGTAATTTTGAATGCATATCTTGAAACTACCCAATTTTTAATTTGTTTTACTATGATTTAGAAAAAAGTTCTAAACTATAAACATTTTTTCTTAAGTTAATTCGACTCAGTCGTGGGCTACTGTTTATTCTAATTCCATAACCTAGTTTATACATTTGGTTATGAGCGAGGAATGCTAACACCAAGTGTCCAGATAAAACACACTATCCGGGTTGATAGGAAATGAAAGAAGCCGTCCACCCCAGCAACCTCAAAATTAAAACGCTGCCTCCGGAGCGGCTCAGAACACTAAATCACGAGAGCCAATCACGAGGTACGTAGCGTCACGATTCCGACCAATGACGAGATTCAGGGGGCGGGGAAGCCTTGACGCACTGAGGCTCGTGATTGACGCAAGACTTGTTGCTAAAAATAACTGGCCGACGGAGGCAGGGTGAGATAGCAGAAAGCCCATTCATTGTCCCGGGGCGGGCCCGACTATTTCAGCGTGGCGTTTGTGATCCAGCCAAGCCAAATATAGTCGTAGACAGGTATTTTTAGCCGTACAGCGTGTCCCCGTTCTCATCCGCCAAAAGCGACTCGGCCGATATAGGTTACAGGGAAGCGAGCCCCGGCTCCAAAATCAGCACACTCAGTGTTAACGTGTTATTCGGTGGTCCTACAGTCAGCTGACACAGCCGTCACACCAAAGACCCCAAAAACTCTCACTTCCCTGGCGACGTGGCTGGAACAGCCCGTAAGACGCGAACACGTGCTCGTCCACCAGACGCGCGCGCGACAGGTTTGTGGACGTGATTGTGTTCCGCGTGCTCCGCTTCCTCGCCACCAGCTGGGCACATGCTTCTATTTGAGCTGAGAGAGCGCCAGTTGGGACGAAGCACGGTGGTCGAGACTCATTTCCGCCGCGGGAGAAATCTGTAGGCTTGAGAACAAAACAAAACGTGCGAGGAGAGCTGCGCGGGGTTAACGCAGTCATGGAAATCCAACGTGCACCTGTCCGCGCGGGGAAGTCCCTCTGCGCGTGTCACCTCTGACACACACACACACACACACACACACACACAGGAAAGCCCGACGTCTGCTTATGCACGTGTGCAGAGAGTAAGAGAAGCCCTGTTCGAGACACCAACACATACAATGAGCCGAGTTGTTCCGGTTTGTCTCATTCAAGTGTGCGTTTATGTGCAGAGCATTCGACATTCCAGCCATGCGAGATTAGTTTGTAAAACGTTTGTAGAAAGAGTGAGTGGTGGATAATGCCGGAGAGCCCTGGGCTTGGTGCCACATGCCAGGATCAGCTGCAGGGCATGTGGATCACATGCCACTGGGCCCCAGCTAAAATACCACCACCAACAACAACAACAACAACAACAAAACACTTCTTGAGTGACACTGCATGATTCTGTAATTCAATTCAATTTCATTTACAATGTCCCTTTTCAATTTACAATTTCACACTGAAAGACTTGTCAATAGTTCGTAGGAGTCGTCCTGTCATCTCATGGGGCTGAAAACTTTTTTTTTTTGTCATGTGCAATCGTATAATGTAATATAGTATGATCAGTTTTCAATACGTTTGATTGTTAAGTTGGTTGAAGTCCATGCCCACAGGTTTATTAGGGCTAAACATATGGGCATACATCACAAGTCTGTCCTCAAGTCCATGCTGCTCTCCCTTTTCTTTTGCTTTTAAAGCCAAATCCGGCTCATCCAGTGTAAACCCTTATAAATGGATCATTTATTTCATTAGGGGGATTTTTAATATTCATGTTATTTCGCTCAATATTTTGGTTGTTTATGTTTGCTAACAGTCTATACGCCTGTTTTGGTCAAGTAAAATGAACAGGAAGAGCAATGGATCATTTATAAGAGGAAGGCGTTTCTAGAAGTCTTTACACCTCTTTGTTTGACTCCAGTCTTTTCACTATCCTTTCTTTCTCCACGTCTCTCCCGCTCGTTTCCTGGCTGGTCGTTGTATCAGCCGCGTTTTTTGTGACCACCTCAACATGGTGACGCGTAATCCAGATTAACCTGCTCTCTTATTCCGCCAGACATGGAAGTGATTAGAGATTATGTAGTCAACTGCGTCCACCACCGCAGTGTGTCATGTGACTCATTCATAAAGACAGTAATGTACACTAACACCAGCACTTGTTGGGGTTGGGGACTGTTATTGGTGGGATTTACATGAAAAAAACTTACTTGGTTTTACAGTGAGTGAATCTGGAATCACAATTTCCTGCCAGACAAATACAATTTTACTAATCAAATGATTTGTTTAGGTTCTGACCGTTGTGGGAGCACAGCTGTAATCCATACAGTGGTTTATCATCTTTAGCTCTCCTGTACGGAGCTGCCGGTGAGCATATTGCGCAGAGACACTGTGAAAAGTGATCGTGTCCGTTTGAATGAGCTCTCTATGTCCACGTCCAAGGCACCAGCACTCAGCGCTCTGGTGACATTGGAGAAAGAGGAAAGCGCTGAAACAGAGGAAGGCTTTTATCTTCATGTCACCAAATCCGCTTCAACTGAACGTCAGAGTGCAAGCGAGGACGGGAAGGGGGCCGAAGTGCGGGGGAGAGGATTGCTGGCGCAACGGCAGGGCGCTCAATGGTAGCATTCTTCCCCATTTTCTGTGGCGACACACACACACCCACCCACACACACCCACACACACACACACTCACAAACACAGCGTTACCAGGGGGATTCCCCCTGTGAGTACCCAAGTGAAGTAATACAACCCACCACTGCCTTATCACACCAGTGCCCAAAGACAGGGGAGAGGAGTGTAGAGAGGTGTTCCAGGAGCCACGGCACAGGAGGTGAACTGTATATCACTCAGGGATTGTGGGCCATTATGTGATGTTATCACGATGGGTTTTTACACTTTCCTCTGGTGTGAATGTCTCAACAGAGAGTGAGAACGGTAATGCGCAGCAGCTCGGGCGTAATGTTCTTTAGTTTCCCTCGCTCATGTTTGATGGCAGATTTATCACTTTTCTTATTGTTGCCCCGTTATAAAACTCAACAGCATGATTTATAGCCGTGCCTACGTCTTTGGGAGTGCGTGGCAGTGTAAGTAAAACCAAGCCCCTTTTGTTTGGCACCACATTTATCTGTGGTCGGTTGTGCATGTGTTCATGTCTCTGTTTCATGTCTCTGTGCTGTTCTTGCAGTTTCACAAGGGTGAAGCATTAGTTTGCACGGTTGCAGAGAGCTATATCTATTGTACACACATTCCGCATGTGCCTTATGCATTTGCGCTGTCAAGTCCAAACAAGCTTATGTGCACATGTGCAGAGTCGGGGGAGTAGACATGTTGGCTTGTCTTGAAAGGTATTCAGTGTCCATGTGTCCGACTCTCTTTGTCTGTTAAGCACAATCACAGACAGAAATCAAAACCATATGTAATTCTTCTCCTGACATAAAGCGTAAACATTAAGACTGACTTGACTTCTTTATATGAAATATTATTGTGTGTATTGATAGCTGGTCTACGCTCTTCTTGTTATACTGACAAGACAAAAAGCAGATATCTACATCATTAGCCAGTCCGCATTTATGTGTTGGGGCGGAACAGTTGACGGTCGCTGACAGAATTTAACCAGATGGTGGACAGAAGTTGTTCCATCTTTGATGAGATGCATCAGCAACAGCAGATGAGTAATAACAGTAAGAGTTGCATCGTAGCGGTTTGGACCATCGATGGATGAGGACACAAGTCATGTCGGTCACATAAACTGGTTGAACCGACCAGGAGCGGCAGGGATCCGATGTGGGTGAAGGTGGACTCGTAATGTGTAACTGTTGAATTCAGAGAAACACAAACGTTTGCTTATTGACATGCTGGTGTTACTGAGAGAGCAGAACCTGAGAAGAAAAATATTTGTCCTTAAGTCCACTTGCTTATTCTTACTTCACGTGGGGGATGGAGATTGAATTCATGTGGAGGATTTGACACTAAAACTGTGCCTCTTGAATTCAAGGCAGTTACGTTTACAACTTAACTACCAGTAGCAAATGCAAGTGTTTGTGGGGGCGATTCGTAAGATATTTTGTGAAAATACGCAAACAGTGGGCGTATGAATCAGTGTAGGCAGTTGTTAAAAGGGCATTTTCTAGATCTGAGAAACAGGAACCTGTATTGGTGTGTGACGTTGTTCCGTCATTCGAGTTAAAAAAATGATCACAGAATTCCCCCTCTTGGAGTGTTTGGATGGAGATACACTTGAAAAGACAGCAAGTGATGGAAGATTACCCTAACATTTGCATACAGTAAACTAAAACCATTTCATAGAAAACCTGCTACTGAGGATGCTTCTTTAATGTTTGGAAGTTTTATATGAATTTGAGTATTCATATTAGAGAGAGATGCCCTTTTGTTATCTCATCTGGGCACTGCTTGGCGGAGATACTATTAGTTTCATTTACGCTCATTCCATTCCCACAACTTCAGTCTTCAGATACCTGCGATACAGCTCATAATTGCGGTTAAGGCTAATCTTTTCATAAAGGAGTGATGACATTTTGGTGGCTGAGTCAGTGTCTTCGTCACCCTACAGATATTCAACACTTGAGCAGAATGTGTGTGTGTGTATGCTGTGATTTTTTAATCTGCGTACAGGGTCTAATTATGTGCTCAGCGTTTGACGCTTTGCTGTGGCTCAGAGTAACATCATTCTGGGTCACATAGTGACCACATGAGCATTTGCATGGGTAGACAGACACACACACACACACACACACACACACACACACACACACACACACACACACGACACACACTCCCACACGCACTTGCAGATAAACAAGTGGTTGCATTTTTGCATGAGTCACAGTGGTGGGGAGAGGGGGAAAGTTTCCTTGTTTGGGCTATCCCCCATGCTGACAAGTTTGATACTTCTTGAATTATCTGATTTGTTTCTAATGCAGTAAACCTGTAGTGGACAGTGGTTTCAGGTCATACTGCTTAGAATACAGATATCCTGACAACTTTCCCCTTGTATCATTTTGTTAAATTCAAAATAGCAAAGCAAGAGAATACTGCTTAAAAAAGAAAAACTTTGCTACAACACTCTGCTACAATACTATAAAATGACAGCGTCTATATTTCATATGTAATCTGTTATTTCATGTTATTTATTAGGGATAGAAACATAACAACATACTCATTTTGTACAACTTTAACCACGGAAATGTGTTATTTATAAATAAGTTAAATAAATAGTTTATGTATTTTGAAGAGAGCCGCAACTACTTAAGGATTTTTTGCTTTTTATATCATCACAAATAAAAGTAGGCTGCATATATTTTGTCTTTGGGCCGTTGGTTGCAATCCTATTTAAAAAAAATTGGGGGGAGAATTAAATCGCAGAATAAGCAATGCATTGATTCTTCAACTTTTTCGGTTTAGTTGCTCCACAGCTATCAGCTCCGATTGTGGGTGTACTGGGCCGCCGCAGGTGTGAAAGTGTGTAACCACGTGAACAGGGTGTTTTTGAAAGAAAAGAGTGTGAACCTTGATTAAAGTATGGTACAAATTAGTTTTCATTTTTTGCAGCATTACACAGAATGAGATTGCAGAATCACTGATTAATAGTGTTCGCATATTAATTGTCAGCTTTAACAAAAATAAGTATGACCTGTTCTCAGTACCTATCTATGGATCCAATGCAGAGACTTGCGTAATACATTTATTTAATTACATTTCAATTGTATATCCAGGTGTTATTAAATACTACCAATGGCAAGTCAATTCACTCTCTTACTCACAGCGTATGAATGAAATGCGTGGAAGGAAGTCTATTGTGAATGGACATGATAATTTTAAGCTTTATAAACTTTAGGTATGTGGAGCTGAGCGTAAAGAGAGGGAGCAGCAAATGTTAACTGGTAATGAGGAACCTGTCCGATCATGCCTTTGCCTGTGGCTGTCTGTGAGGAAGCACATTCGTATGTGTCCGTGGGTGCTTACGTGATCATGTAATATAAAAGTTTTCCATGTTGGTTTACGAGCCGACTCACTATGTGTCACCCTTTGAACTTTTTAATAGTGTAGGGATGGTTGACCTTTGGGATGCGTACCAACTACATTCAGATCATTATTTTTTTGCTATGCTGTACATTTTGCTAAAGTGCTGAACCCAACAACGATGGGATCAAAACCAATGAAGACATAAGCAGAGGTTTTCATCTATAATTTGTTTTCATATCCGTAGATCTAACCCTCAGCACGATATTCCAGCGGACTTCCTTCAAAAAGAACAAAATCAATAGTTTCATGAATTTAAAACATTCTCCAGGTAATCACATCTATGTTTCAGTAATGCAGATGTGCAGGAGAAGATGGGAGCAAAGGGGTGTACTTTATTCAAATCTTCTTCAATAATAGTCATTAATAGTCAATATGTAACACCCGACGATACACCGTATACAGTTTTTTGCGTTAGGTGTTAAAACCCTGTACACTTTAGCAGGTTAGAAATGTTGTTCCGTTCATTTATGATTAACCTTAAGTAACCGTATGCAGTCACCTTCAACAATCTTAAGATCTTTTAAAGGCAATCTTAAAATGTTCTGTTAAATAAATGTTTGTTAATTCTCTATATCTATGAATGGAGGTTAACACTGGTAATTGCTTATGGACCACTGAAGACATTTGATGAGTGAATTCTGAAAAACAGCCTAAAAAATACTCCAGACTGGTAAACACAATTTGATTGTTTTCACCAAAACTGAAATTCAAAATCAGTTTTGGACTGAAATCTCAAGGATTACCACTGATGGTTTGCTCTTTCTCGTTGAAAATTGTCCTTGTCCTGATATTTGTCCTTCACTCTTTCTCTCTTCTTTTTTTAAAGACACTGAAAGTCACTATGCTACAACATGATAACAGCTGTGGTTCGCTTTTGAATGACATCTAATGCGTTGCGCAAGAGGATTCATCAAGTTGGCTCCTCTTGAGCCTTGACCTTTTCTTTTAAAAAAAGTTCACCCCTTATGATTCACTGTCTTTCAAATCTGACATTTACATTTTGTCTCCTTCTCACGCTCGAAACCCTTCTGTCAATTATCTGGGTACGGGAATCCAACATTTGCACCGTGGCATAGCGTGGCTGTACGTGGGCGCTTGTCACAAACCCCAAACCACCCACGGGGGCCATTGTGATCTTCCCAGAAGCCACTGCTGCACAGTGAAAGACACTCCCAAGAATTTACATGAGAAAGGTCTCCTCAGGTGAGAGAGGAGAGTCAGGACTCCTCTCGCTGTGTACATACCTGAGGAGCAAGTATTTACGCATGCCGCTCCCTATTACTGGAGGTGCTGACTTGTGTGGGAGAGACTGCCCAAAACTCTTAACACGATTTGTTTGCTCATGTAGAGGGGAGAGGATAGAGGAGAATCCCCGAATCTCATCTTAAAACTTTCAGGAATATTGGCTCACCTGCGTGGGTGAGGACAGTTTAGGAAAAAAATGATATCAGGGGAAAAAGGGTCACTGTTATTTGAACATGTGTGTTCCCACGGTCACGCTTTTTCTGTGAGACCTCCCCGACGTAATGCCCACTGCACTCTGCCTGCAGTGATATACAAAGATTGCGATCTTGGGATCCACAGCTTTAAGTCACTTGGAATTGTGCTTGCAACTATGATTAGAACATGTGTTTATAAATATTTTTTTGACGAAAGGTCTTTCTTAGTTTTAATATGTTAGAAACTACAGAAGTGGCCAGCTATGTGATTCTATTGGATCAGCTTCTCTTTAAATGGTGAATAAAACACCGTTCTCAAGTGGTTAAATATCATTTTTGAACACTTTTTGAAAAAAAAGTACTAATTATCCTATTATTTGAAACAAAATAGCTAGGACGTCATACAAGTACGATATCAACTAGACGTTTGATACAAGCTGTCATAGTGATACTAAATAAAGAGGAGCCATGGATTAAAAGAACGATCAAAGCAGCAGAGGAAGAGGTCCACTGACCTTTAGTTTCTTGTTGGGTCAAGCTCCAAAAGCCTAGAGTTCCCATAATGCAACTCAGTAGAGGGATGATCTGACAGCAGCATTAGGTTTATTTTTTCCACTTTGAGCTTCTTTGAGCCACAGATGTTACACAGCTGCAGAAAAGTAAACTTCATTGTAGCGTCACAGTGAGCAGTTCCAGTGTGTTGATCATCTGTGATTTTGAAAAGTTGGAGTGACGGGGGACGAGAGAGACAGCAGAGACATCTCGTCCCTCTGTTGAATAATCTGCTTACTCACCGGATGTGATTCACCTAACTAAATCTGTGGAGAGAGGGTTCTGTTTTCTAAATGTTTGGTCAGTAATGTTGTGTAATGTTTGGAAAGCTGTGTGCTTGTCAGGTAAATAATTTCCCCGGAGCCTCAGTCCGTCTGGCTGCTGTGCTGCTTTGAAGTCTTCATCCAATAAGTACCTGAGGGTCATCAGAAAAGAGTGACGTTATGGTCTTGAGTTATACCGCGACTGCTTAGAATGTACAGTACTGATTTCCTGCTTAGTGTGCTTGGCTCTAATGTAGCAGCCCTCATAATCCTAATCAGGGTTCTTTTTTCAGTTTAAAACCTTTCTCTAAAGTGAATCTTTATTTTGTGTGTCACGTAACTGCCACCGTCCATTTAATATAAAAGTGTGCAACAGCGTCTAAAACATTCTTTCAATCACTCTCTTTGGTTTAAACCGTCCTTATCTGCATCTCAGTTGCGTTCTTCTTGCCTTTTGTTGCGTTAAGATACACGTTTTATTCCTCCATTGTCCCGAGTCACAAACGTCTCCATGTGCGTGCTTCTGAAAACATTCTTTTCAAAATGACGCTCCTCCGAGCCATTAATGAAAACTACAGGCTACCTCTAATTCATTTTTTTCAAACATAAATATGAATTGTCTGAACAGGGCATTCTGTTGGAGCGGCTGCTCTTCGAGTCTCGCAGACAGTTGCCAGAACAGACTCGGGTCACCGGCAGGTCTCGACTTCAGACTGACCCACTTAGCCCATGCCAAGAGCCCCCCCTCTTCCTCCCCGTCTTCCTCCTCCCCCCCCTCGTCCTCCTCCCCTGCAACGCCGTCACCACCACTGTCTCCGTTCCGCTCTCCTCTCCCCTTTACTCTTTGTTGCTCTCTTGCGGTCCCCGAGTACGCCCTCCTCCCTCTGCTGCCCTCTCCTTAAACTCACCACTCAGTCCTTCCCTCTGCGCCGTCTTTCCTCTTCCCCTCTCCTCTTTCCCTCCTTGAGTTCCTTCGCTCCATGAGAGGGAACTTCCACTGCAGCTTTCATCCAGGAACAGGCTTCCACTGTGGAAACACAGCCACACCACGCTGCTCCGGGTCACCAAAGGCGCACACACACACGCGCACACACACACACACACACACACACACACACACACACACACACACACACACACACACACACAGGTGCGCAGACAGACAAATAGGATGTACATTTTTACCGTACAAGTCACTTCCACCAGCATCTGGCAGCACGTCGTTTTACAGCCGCTAGAGAAAGATCCTTTTTCTCTTACCGACCACCGTAAGACCGTAAGGTCCATACCTCGCTGTGTATGTGTTATTTTAGATAATAGGTTACTTATCAGCATCAATTTATTGGCAAGATATGAATGTAGCAGCATCACAGGGGCACACACACACACACACAGACACACGCACACACAGACACACACAGTAGGAGTGATTGTATTCAAAGCAGTCAGGAATGGAACACATAAGGTAACCAGTGAGGTAAGCAGCACCCGCTAACCCAACAACGACCATGACCATCTTTGTGTCTTTCTTTGTGTGTACCTTTTCCACAGTCACTATATCCGGTCGTCATACAAGTTGTGCCAAGGGACATATAATTCTTGGCATGTGTGTGTATCTGGAAAGATTGTGGAACTGCAATCGTGCGATTGTGTGTGTGTGTCCGTGACGCCCTGGAAGCTCTCCTGGCCGCGGCTGTGGAAATGCTCCACTGTCCCACTCTGTTCAGTGGGGACGGTGGTTGACAGGCAGGGGATGAATGGGGGGTGGGGGCTCTGATGGTTGGATGAAGAAGAGGAACTGTTGCACTGTGGCACTGCCAGAAAAAAGTGCACGGTTAAACAAGAGGGTGGAACGTTGTGGGGAACGTTGTGGGGAACGTTGTGCTAACTTCCATTTTGTTGTAAACCCGAGCCCTTCTGCTTTCACTTGACTGCAGGGTTTCACTTGATATCATGAGTTTATGTCAGTTTACTTTGTTTTGTGACTGTTCAGTGACACATGCCGCTGTCTAACTGGTCAAAATGTTCTTAATAGAATTGTGTTATGTGTTATGTGCTATTTAGCAAGTGAAAATATTCTACTAACAAGGAATACTAAGATGGTGGAAATGTTAAAAGTAGCAGGGCAACATGTTGAGCAGCTGACGTTAGCATTAGCCTCAAAGCTCTGCTATACAGCCTCACAGAGCCGCTAGCATTGCTGTAGTCGCGGCGTTGGTAATATACACTTTGAAGTTGCAGTTTAGTTTTTGTTATAGCTTGATGGTGGATGATTTTGGTACACTAGATGAGAGTTCTTCTATTAAAATGAATGGATTATTTGGTTTTGATTGTCATGAATACATCATTCCTTTGAGATGCTTGGATTGTTCCAGTTTTTTAAATTGTGCCAATTGTGCCTTAATACATGTGTTTTTCTATAATTGATGTGTTCACTTTATCTACTAACTACACAATATTAGCTTGAAGGCGTATTACACGCTATATGACAGCACCCCACTGACATGCAAATAAAATGTTGAATACTGAGGTATTTTCAATCTTCCTTCTTGTCTTTTGTTTGATGAAGCACGATGACATTGAAAGTCACAGATGTTTATATTTCAACGTTGTGCATTTATTTGTTTTCAGACATTCTGTTCTGTATCAGTGGGGCTGTCCCTACGTTACAAATGTTGAGCTGTGAGCTGTTCAGGAATTTGGAAGGTGCAGTGTTTAATAGTATGTTGCGTTTCCCTGTAACAACCCGCCTGGTTGAGCGCTCATCTGCCACTCTTCATGACGCTAAAATACCATTTCGGAGCTGTAAGAGAGTCTGTGCTGCGTCTCTATCAAGTTTCTTCTTTAGCTTCCCACTGTACATTAGACAGGGATTCATGGTGGGAGGCAGCATGAGTGTGTATCTGAGTGTGTGTCTTACTTGTAGTGGAAACTCTTGGGGAATCTGTGCCATGGAATGTCTGGGCAGGATTCCCTCTTTTCCCCACAGGAGCCGACCGTTCACACACACGACTATCTGTACGCAACATAAACACGTAGCACAGAAAAGCACGACAACACATTGTCCATTTGTGTGGACTCAAACTCAACTCGTTCATGACAGCTTTTGGCTACTCATTCCAAAATGTTCCTTACATGAGGATGTGTTATCATATCGTTAAACATAAACCGCCTCTGTATGTCCGCAAAGTCCACTTTTCCTTTTCGACCAGACTTCAGACTTATAAGCTCTCGCTTACTCAGACTTCTCTTTTATTCTTCTCTCTTCACTGGAATGTAACTTCCGTTTGACCTTGTGACTCATCTCCCCCACGCTGACCACGCCAGTTTTGTCTCTCCTATACAGACGCAGTGCTGACCCGAACTCTCATGCAGCACATGCATGCCAACACACACTGTTGCGTCACTCTCCTCTGGTGTGGCCTGTAACTGCTCGACAGCTGTTCCTGCTTTGCTGTCATGTCAGCCATGATGTCAGAGCTTTGTTGTGTTTGATTGGCTGACGTCTAAGTTCGTCCTGTGTGTGTGTGGGGGGGGGGTTACCGTGTGGGTGACTGTTGCTTCTCTCCGTGACACAAAGACCTGCTGTTGAAATGGTCAATCTTTGACCCCTTGACCCACAGTAGGACACTTGCGTCCGTCTTGTCACTGCAGTGTAAAATGATGTGTGAGTTGGGGTCCAGTTATGCTGCATTCACGTGTGATGAAATAAACAGACAGTGCTGTCTGTAGTGTCAAAGGTAAAGGATTTAAAAAAACGTGCATGGCAAGTGCATTTATCGTTTCGACTTCATTTAAAATAAAAAAAAGGTTATTTCTGTCTTGGGCGCCATAAGTGTTTCATAAATGTCCAAAATTGTCGATCAGATAGTTTTCGGAATGTTTAAACAACTGATCCATTCTTTGTATATGTGCAAATGGGAATGACAGCCAAAATCACACAATTTGTAAAAAATAATTCTTGGAATGAGGTTATTTGCATCAGAGCAAAGGCATTTTGAACGTATTCAATGTGGACCAAAGGAAAAAAGAAAATCAACCCAACGTTCATTCATTTGTTGATATATAAAGAGACCAAATCTAAAAGAAACCAAAGAAAGTCTGCCTTAATGCCAAAAGATCTGTGGGTGGATTCAAACAGTGGTGAACCCGAACAAACCCAAATAGAAAAGGAACACCAATGTTGGCTGCAGAATTACCCAAAACAATAGCAAAGTAGCAAAGTAATAACAAGTTTATTTGGAGCCACTAGATTAGTTGCAAAAAACTAAAACATGTGAAAATACAATGGACCCTGCTTGACTTCCTGGTCCTGGTTCAGATGTACATTACAAGGATCCAAGTGCACCAGTTAAAACCAATTAACCAATTAATTTCCTTCAGTTCATATTGAAGGCCATTTGGAACCGTGTTTAAAAATGATCTGTAGGCATCAGGAGCTATTTTTACAAAAAGCTTGTTTTGTGTGAAACACAAAAAATAGACAAAAGTGTGACATTCACTTTATGAAATATTCTATTGCACTGGATTAAAATTGTGCTTCTGTGTGTCCAGTCATGGTCACCATGGTGAAGTCCTACTAAGAATCGCCATGACAACTCAAGCCATCAACAGCCATGTTGTAAGCCAAAACACGTAACTGTCTCCTACGCATCAACACCATTCACACATGTACTCATGCAAACGCTTGCACACACACAACAGAGGCGCCCACACACACAACAACATATACAACAGCGTCGTGAAAATAGAGTTACTTGTTGGCGAGATAAAATTAGTATGTTGATTACCCTCCTCGGACTGATGTAAGACAAAAAAAAATGTAACTCCAAAACTGAAAGATTGAGATTTTGAATCCTCTTCAAATGTGTATGTTTAATTATTGATTTCCCCATGTGTGTCTCTGAGAGAGAAGCACTGGCAGCATGTCCCGGAAGGTGATTCCACCCTCGAGGCACTCACCACCAGTCACCTCTTGACACACACATATTCACACATTCTGCCCCCGGCACGTACATTGCTCGATTGTCGACATAGAAGCCCTCCCATCACCCTGTATCTGACCCATTTTCCTGTGTACACTATGGACGCTGGTGAGGAGGCCCTGCCACCCACCCCTCCTTGTTTCCACTGGTGTGGAAAACACTACTGGAGTGGGAAAAAGAAGGGAGTGGGAGGACAGGCGTAGTGGAAGATGAGCTTAAGGGGGGAGGAAAGTACCAGGGTTGGTGAGTGAGTGCGTCCATAAACCCACCTCGAGGTAACCCGCGGGGGTCCGAGAGGCTCGGCCCTTGTACTCGTGGTAAGTGTGTGACTGTGTTCTGATCTGTTTTATTTGTGGAAGGTTAGGGTTGGATCTGAAAAATGCAATTCCGCATTGAAAACATCACCAATCTCCCGTTCTTTCTCCCCTGCGGTGGGGTCCTGCACCCATAACATCTGAAGCCGTATTGACTTTTCTCATCCCTTTACTTCTACTGGTATATTTGGTCGTATTTTAATATTTTAGTCTATTAAGAAGGCTCTTCGCTGCCTCATAATATTGAGGAAACTGCATGAGCTACGCCCTTTGTTGGATGTCATCCTCTCATTTTGCCCAGTTTTTCCACAACCACATTAAAATAACTCAAAATAACAGTGAAAAAAAGCAGAGGTCAGGATTTCCGGATTGTTACTCCCTAGTACCTTTCCACTGTATCTGGCTGGTAGTTCCAGTCAGATATGCTAGCTGACAAAGCTAGCATACCTGACTGCTTCCGTTAGCTTCTGTGAAGACAGCACTGTCCCAACATACACCAGGGTGAGTTACAACAATGACACAATGACAAACACAGATTCTCAGCTGAACTCAGACGGCTATGGTTGTTGAATGTACGACAGGGACTTGTTTAAAGATTAAAATGACAGGTTTGGCAACGCGGCAAAGATGCCAATCGGCAAAAGACTGTACTCATAGAGGCTCCAACAGCAGTTCCCTGCTAATGACTCTGCATCAGTCTGGAAAGGCCTCAGACAGATCTCCAACCC